AGCCATTTTTCAGTGATGTTGATTGGATCACTGGAACATCTGCCATCTTCTAGGAAGAGACAAAATAATTTATGGAGAATAAAAGGCTGAGGATAGTTGGCTTTATAATAGCCTTGGAAATAACTGTGGAATTTACAGACTAGTTGATCTTTTGAATCTCACTACTTCCCTCCTTTTGACATATCCATTACCAGGGTAGCTGTGTCTGTCTTGAAAAATCAGCACAATTTTAGTTATCTTGTATTGCCCTGATAGCCCAACTATAGCAATGTCTCCATCCAAAGGGAGACCCTCACTTCATGTAAATACATTCGCTTGCCAAATTTACTCATGTTTTTAAGATTTAATGATTTTTTTCCTACAACAGCAGTTTTTGCCTTTATTTTTAAGAACCTTGTAAGTCATTCTTTCAGCACACTCACTGCCAAGTATGTAGCAGGCACTGTGCTGAGGGAAAGAATAGAAATAATTTCATATTGTTCCGAGTTTTTAATCTCACCACTGAAATAGAGATAAGTGCTAACCGAGGTAGATACAAAGCCATACTTGAGGTTTGTTAAGTACATATGATCTGCAACTTACAATAGGGTCATGTTCTGACAAACACATTAAGTTGCAAATTAAATGCATTTAATGTACTTAACCTACTGAACATCATAGCTTAGCCTAAATTTAAATGTGCTCAGAACACTTACATTAGCCTACAGTTGGACAAAGTCATCTAACACAAAGTCTATTGTGGAATAAAGTGTAGAATATGTCATGTAATTTATTGAATACTATCCTGAAAGTGAAAAACAGAATGGTTGTATGGGTACTTGATGTATAGTTTCTACTGAATGTGTATTACTTTCACACCATTGTAAAGTGAAAAAAATCATAAGTCAAACCGCTGTTTGTAATAATCTTGTTACATATCCAGAAATAAGGGCCATCTGTACTTACCATGGGCCAGGCTCTGTGACAGAAGCTTTTGCATGTTGATTCATTTAGTCCCGATTTCCATTTTACAGGTACTTAGGTTCCAAGAGGTATAACATATCATCCATTGATCACATAGCTCTATGAAGTGACGATGCCTAGTTTCTGCCCCAAGCCACTGTGTTACCTTGCAGTGGGAACTCAAAGGCAGAATTTACTGGGTTGTGGAAAGGTAATTAGAGAAGGCTTTACAGGTTTTCTTAAGACAAGGCAGGAACTAACTGAAATCAAGAGTTTTGTGCCTAGTGATTATGAAAATAGCATTGGCATTAAGTAACTGATACCAGAGCTGCCTCTGGGTGTTATTAATTTCTTACTGACCACTCAGATGTTCCTCAACACTAGCCACGATGAAAATAACCACCATCTCTGTTTGCACAGTATTTTTCAATTACAGAAACTTCCGTCAAAATAAGTTAACTTCCCTTCCTTCTTGGAGAAAACACTGATTGTTCCTGGGTATTGTTTATAGATATCAGAGATATAAAGCATAGGAAAAATGTTATTTTTCAGTTAATTTTAATTCAATGAATATAAAAAACTGTGAAATGTGGGGAGGTGAATAAGGTTTGTCCCATCTTCAAGATGCTGGGCTGCATTCTTTGACCAGTCAGGACAATTTTAAAAGACCAAATGGACTCTCAGTCTTTTCTTTCAGTTTCAGAAATGAACATCAGGAAAGTCTTTGACATTTCATTTTTGAAATAAATTCTGAGCATGATGTACTCTGTCAAAGGAAAATTCCTGGTAGGGATACATGTCTTTTCGAAGGCATTTTTACTTGGCAGTTAAAAGTATTTTCATCTGACTGTGTTATCGCTCCTTAAGGCTGTATTTACTAATGTAATATTAGAGTGGGATTCTGAAAGCCCACTTTAAAATCTTTTAAATTATCTCTTCTGAAAGCCCACTTTAAAATCTTTTAAATTATCTCAGTTTTTCCCTTAACTAAAAAAGTATAAAGCATTTGTGTCTGTAAGACTACTAGAAAGATATTGATATGTGTGTATATATACACACACGTACTCCTATATATTAATAGAAATAACGTCTGGATATGTAATAAGATAATGGATTATTTTATTTCATGTTTATCTTATGATTTTATTCAGTGAACATATGTTAAACTTACAATAAAAAAATACAGTGCTCAAACCTTTTAAAGAAAGTTACATTTAAGGTATCGGATTCTGTGAGTATGTGAATAGGTACTAACACAGATGAAAATCTTTGTGATCAAATTTCTTAATGCTTACAATAAATATTAATTTAGATTGGAACTTGAATGTCAGGGTTCAGTGGCCATGTAAACATTTATAGGCACAAAGAAGTAGCAAGGTGGTAACTATATTAAAGTTGAAGATCAACAGATTAGCCAGGTATAGGTGGCATGCACCTGTAGTCCTAGCTGTTTGGGAGGCTGAGGCAGGACAACTGCTGGAGCACAGGAGGTTGAGGTCGCTGTGGTCTTTGATACTATTGCACTGCAGGCCAGGTGACAGAGTGAGATCCTGTCTCAAAAATAAACAGAAAAGTTAGAGTAAATAATAGTAGTGGTACTATTTTAGATTATTATGAAAAGAAGTATCAGAATTCCATTTTTATCTGTAAAACTGTTAATAAAACAAAATTCAAATACATATGAAAATAAAGCAAGTATTATAAGGAACCCCAGGTACTCATCACCCAGTTTTAACAATAGGCTACTCATGACCAATGTTATTTCATTTATAGTCTTCCCCTTCCTCCCCCTGAAACACCCGTAGATTATTTGGAAACAAATCCCAGTCATCATAGTTGATCAAGTTTATTCATTTATGCATTATAAGTTACTATTTTGCCTGGATTAGGATCCAAATAAAGTCCATACATTTTGGTTAATGGGTCTCCTAAGTCTCTCTTAATAGATGTTTTTAGTAAGCATCTTTTAAAAAAATTGATTTGTAAGGTACAGGTGCAGATTTATTTTATGGATATATTGCATAGTAGTGAAGGCTGTGCTATTTGTGTAACCCTCAACTAGTTAGTGTACACAGTATCAAGTAATGTCTTTTCCCACACCTCTCTCCCACCTTGCTGCTTTTCTAAGTCTCCGTGTCTATTCCACATTCTGCGTCCATGTGTACTAATTTAGCTCCTACTTATGAGAATACATGACGTTTGATTTTCTGTTCCTGAGTTACGTAAGGTAAATGGCTTCCAGTTTCCATCCATGTTGCTGTAAAAGACATGATTTCGTTCCTTTTTATTGCTGACTAGTATTCCATAGTGTGTGTGTATATATCTGTGTGCACATTTTCTTTATCCACTCATGAGTTAATGGGCACTTAGGATAGTTCCGTATCTTTGCTATTATGAACAGTGCTGCAGTAAATATACAAGTGCAGGTGTCTTTTTGATAGAATGACTTATTTTCCTTTGGGTAGATACCGAGTAGTGGGATTGCTAGATCAAACCATAAATCTATGTGTAGTTCTTTGAGGACTCGCAATACTGTTTTCCATAGAGGCTGCACTAGTTTTGACTTTTTAATGACAGCCATTCTAACTGGAGTAAGATGGTATTTCACTGTGGTTTTAATTTGCATTTCTCTGATTAGTGATCTTGAACATTTTCATGGTTTTTGGCCATTTGTATATCATCTTTTAAAAAACGTCTGTTCATGTCCTTTGCTTACTTTTAGTCGGGTTTTTTTCTTGTTCAGTTTGAGTTCCTTGTGGATTCTGGTATTAGTCCTTTGTCAGATGCATATTTGTGAATATTTACTCCCATTCTGTAGGTTGTCTGTTTATTTTGTTGTTAAAACTATAGATTTTTCATGTCTTTTTCCCCTTGTGATTTCATGCTAGAAAAAATTGGGCGGCTTCTTCTATAGGGTTTTCAGTTTGAATTTTACTAACTGCATTACATTGGTGTAGTTTATGTGATTCTCTGTTCCGTGTTTCTTATAAACTGGTAAATCCAGAAGCTTGATTTTTTTTTTTTTTTTCTTTTAGCACAACTGTATCATGGGTGTATGTGACCAAATGTTACTTTAAAGCTAGTACCTTAAGTAATTTCTTAAAGAAACCCAGGTAAATAAAAGGACTCTGGTCATAACATATTGTGAGGCAGATGATTAGTGATTTGTCTTTTCTGGAATCATATAGCAGTTAAAATTATCAGCAGCAGTCTTTTCCTAAGAGGAATGAAAAGGTATTCACAGGGCCAAGTGTGCTGGCCTGAAGGAGTCTCGTGGAAATAACCCTCCATGACTACAGTGGGAACTGCAAGCTACATACTGTGTTTATAGACATATGCTGCCTAATATAGTAGCTTCTGGCAATTTAAATTATAAAGAGAGATCATGGAGAAGTAGAAGTGAATATAATTTTCTTGGAGTTTAGGTAGATTTTGAAATGTTTGGTGACAAGTTTTCAATAAACTTTATAGTTTACATTTCTGTAGTGTTGCCCTCAGGTAATGGCCCTTTTAAAACATGGATGTTGTAGGCCCAATTCCTTTGTTGGTGGAAAATATGAGCAGTGAGCTTTTGAAAAAGTTTGTTATAGACACCCTTCTTGTCTCTCTGGTTATGCTGTTATTTCAACTTATTAATAAACATCTCTAGATAGGTGACACATAAATATAGATAAGTCCATGCATTAAAAGGAAAGCTAGTAAGGGTCGCTAGGGAAGGTAGTTTCTTATAAGAGTTTTATGAAATCAAACAGAGAGCAAAGGTTTTATAGTACAAAAAAGTGAATGTGCAGAGCAAGAACAAAAAAAAATAACTATCATTGACATACAGTATTAAAGTAAACTTTAAAGCTGGTTAGGACAGCAATTCTTTGAATTCTGAAGGTGTTGTGCAGAAACAGACCTTTGCAAAAAGATACCTTTTATCAATTCTATTCCCTGTAAATATTCACATAATGGCTGACCTACCTACCTTCCTGTTGAAGAAATAGTGTACCATTTTACTTTATCTTAGTCTAAAAATACTATACTTGAATTAATTGTACTTTAACATTTTACAGCGGAAGTTCAGAGTGAAATTGAAAGGATTTTTGAACTTGCAAGAACACTGCAATTGGTAGTCCTTGATGCAGATACTATTAATCATCCAGCTCAACTTGGTAAAACCTCTTTGGCCCCTATTATAGTGTATGTAAAGATTTCTTCTCCTAAGGTAAGTAGGGTTGCTATTATTTGCTCTATGATTCACTTTACTAAAATGTGTTTTATGTTCTGCTTCTCAATAACAGCCTTTATGCTGAATGTAGAGCTCATGGAGACAGAATGTATAAGACTGATATAAACAAAGTATAGTTAGTTTAATGATTTAGAATAGCAATTCTCAGAGTGTGGTCCATGAGTCCCTGGAGGGTTCTGAGATAGTAAGACATTATTTGCCTTTTTTGCTGTTTTATTGTTTGCATGAATGATGGACCCTAAGCACGAATCAAGACTGTGGTATCAAAAAGCACTAGCAGTTACTGTGTTCATCACCACAGTGTTCTCACTGTTTAAGGGGGAAAAAAAAGTCAGTTTCACTTAAGAGTATCCTTATGAAGTAGTGAAATTTATTAAATTTTGACTCTAAAGTCTGGCTGTTTCATTACACAGAATATTAATAAGTACATACCAAAGTAAGTTGTCTCAAGGACAAGCACTGGTGTGATTATTTGAGTTGTGAACTAGCCACTTTTTTCATGGAACACCTTTGTCATCTCAAGGAACAACTGACCGGCTTGGGTATTTGGTGTAGATATCTTCTTGAAGAAAGTGAGCCTGTTGGTTGGGCGTGGTGGCTCATGCCTTTAACCCTAGCACTTTGGGAGGCTCAGGCAAGAGGATTGCTTAAGGTCAGGAGTTCACAACTAGCCTGAGCAATGTAGTGAGACAACCCCCATGTCTACAAAAAATATATATTTTTTTAATTACCTGGGTATAATGGCATACACCTGTAGTCCTAGCTTACTGGGCAGGTTGAGGGAGGAGGATTGCTTGGGCCCAGGAATTAGAGGTTACAGTGAGCTATGATCCTACTGCTGCACCTCAGCCTGGGTGACAGAAAAAGACCCTGTCTCTTAGAAAGTGAGCCTGTCACTTCAAGGAGAACAACTGACAGTATGTGTTGCCAATGGAAGAACTCAGCAAACCACTTTTTAAATGATCAATGAATGATGTTAATTTCAAGACAGAGTAACAGAACAGAGTAAGTTCATTGAACATGGTTTCAGATTTCACATGGCAACTAGGCTTTGAGTTTTTGTATAGTATCAAAGAAGAATATCCACAATCATCTGAAAATGCTGCTAAAATATTCCTCCTTTTCTCAATCACGTCTGTCGGAGGTTGGATTTTCTTTGCATATTTCAAACAAAATGATACATTGTAGTAGATAGACTTCAGTTGTCTTCTATTAAGTGAGGCATTAGATTTGTTAAAAAAGCAATTTATGTTAATGTGTAATAGATTTTTAGAATTTCTCAGTTTTAATTTTTAATATGGTAAATATATATATTGCACATAAACAAGTTTTTTTGGGTTCTCAATTTTTTAAAACCTACAAAAGTTTTGAGACAAAGTGTTTACGACCTATCAGTCTCAAAGACTCAGAATAAGAGCTACACTGGTGCTTAAAGCATACAACTGATCTTTAACATGTTAATTCTGCAGATGATCTTATCCATTGTATTTTATAGCTCAATCTATTGTAAGCCCTTTGTGCTGTATATGAAAAGGGACTATATCCAAACAGGCCCCAGGGAAAGGAATCAATAACGTACCTTGTAGTTTACATGAGTTCAGATATTCCTCTATTAAAAACTTGTATCTTTTACAGGTTTTACAAAGGTTAATAAAATCTCGAGGGAAATCTCAAGCTAAGCACCTCAATGTCCAGATGGTAGCAGCTGATAAACTGGCTCAGTGTCCTCCAGTAAGTGCTCTCTCTATATGGTAGAATCCAGTTGAAAAGATCAGACTTGGCATTTAAAAAAAAAATAACCAAGCAAACAAAAACCATAAACACTTGTCAGGGAAGACAATCCCCATTAGTTAAAGGAGTAGGCATGGAAGTGAACCGTCCTGCCTCCTTATGACATTGGCTTACAAAAAGCTATGGTGCAGTTTGTGGGGATCTCATTTTGTTAATATCTAATACAAGACCATGGTTCCAAAAATTTGGTTTGTAAGATAGATTTTTTGGAGTTGGTTTATTATTTATATCTGATCACAGGGAGCAAATTATCTGCTCATAATAACTGAGAAACTTATTTGAGACCATGTGAAAATAAATTTCTAAGTACTATTAATAAATTAGCCAGATTCCTGTAATCCATATCTTTACATACTATGCTTTGGAACTATACATCTCTCCTAAGTGCAGCTATTCCAGAGGCTGTAATAGTTTTATCAACTTTTAAGTTGTTTGAAGAGTCAGGCCTTGTTTTCTTCCCTAATGAACTGTGAAGTTAGGACCATGTCAGGTTGTCGGTGGTTTCAGCTGCTTCTGCCAAATCTCAGGTCCTAATCTTGCTTTATTCATTTCCAACTTAAGATTTCACAATCCCTATGTCAAGAGCAGGCTCTTCACTGTCCTAAACACTGATTTGAGGTGAACAGATACGTCTATGCTAACTAAATAAGACAGCCAACAGAAAAGGGGAAAGGTTGGAGCACATGAGCGAGAACAAATACCTAGGGGTCTTGTATGGGGTTGAGGGAAGGGGCCAGCATAAATGTACTGTCTGAAATGTGTGCCTCTGCAGGAGTTGTTTGATGTGATCTTGGATGAGAACCAGCTTGAGGATGCTTGTGAGCACCTTGCCGACTATCTGGAGGCCTACTGGAAGGCCACCCATCCTCCCAGCAGCAATCTCCCCAACCCTCTCCTTAGCCGTACTTTGGCCACTTCAACTCTGCCTCTTAGCCCCACCCTAGCCTCTAATTCACAGGTAAGGGGGGTTCTTTTTATAGAGAAAGCAGGCTACCTAAGGAGACACCATTGAGACCCAAGGCCGTGCCTTAACTCTACCTAAACAGAGACAAACATTATGAGCTGTGTACTTGCAAGAAATGCAATGTAATCAGAATATACTATGAATGAATATCCATAGTAAAACTCCCTAACTTAAGACAAGGATAGCAGACCACTTGGATTCAAGTCCTGGCTCTACCTCCTGTTGGGTGTACAACCTGGGACGGGTTCCCGAACAGCTCTTGTGGCTGTTGTAGTTAATTGGTTCATCTGTCTTTTTTCATGAGATGACCTTATGTCATAGGCCTGCAGTATTTATGCAAAGGCCCTAGAACAGTGCCTGTCCCATGTTGCCATGTAAGTATTTTATATTTTTAATTATTTTGGAATTTTCTTCTTAAATACTTCTGCTTAAGTATATATGGGAAGATTTAAGTCTACATCCATGTATAGAAAATTCTCAGGGACCCCCATCTGTATTTGAACCACAAGAGAAAATATAACACTCTGTTTTTAAAAAACAAATTACTATGTGCACTGTTCTAAGCACTTACAAATGCCATTGGACACCATCAATAATTGAGTTAGGTTAGAAGTTAGATACTTAGAGACTATACTTGCAAAGACTTGCTCTGCCAGGTCTTTACATATTGACCTTGGTTGGTGCCTGTTGCTCCCTTCCTTGCCAGGGTTCTCAAGGTGAGCAGAGGACTGAGCGCTCTGCTCCTATCCGGTCTGCTTCCCAAGCTGAAGAAGAACCTTGCCTGGAACCAGTCAAGAAAGCCCAGCACCGTTCTTCCTCCTCTGCCCCCCACCACAACCATCGCAGTGGCACAAGTCGAGGCCTCTCTAGGCAAGAGACGTTTGATTCGGAAACCCAGGAGAGTCGAGACTCTGCCTACGTGGAGCCGAAGGAAGATTATTCCCACGAACATGTGGACCACTATGCCTCCCACCGTGACCATAACCACAGAGATGAGACCCACGGGAGCAGTGACCACAGACACAGGGAGCCACGGCACCGTTCCAGGGACGTGGATCGAGAGCAGGACCACAATGAGTGCAACAAACAACGAAGCCGTCATAAATCCAAGGATCGCTACTGTGACAAGGATGGAGAAGTGATATCCAAAAAACGGAATGAGGCTGGGGAGTGGAACAGGGATGTTTACGTCCGCCAATGACTTTTGCCCTTTTGTGTTTTTTTGGGACGTCTTGTATAACAGCACCCTGAGACAAAAGCTTTGGGGTCTATATTACAATCATATGTGATCTGTCTTGTAATATTTTGTATTGCTGTTGCTTGAATAGCAATAGCATGACATAGAGTATTAATATACTTTTTTTTTCTTTTGTAAGTGCTATACAAATTGGCCTGGTACGGCTGCAGTCCTCCAGTTCTATACTGGACTCTTCAAAAACTGTTTTTGGGTAGCTGCCACTTGAACAAAATCTGTTGCCATCCAGGTGATGCTAGTGTTTTAAGGAATGTAGCTGATGTATCCAGCAAGCCAGAATCAGCACAGATAAAAAGTGGAATCTCTTGTATCTCTAGATTTTTAATGCGCAGGCACCTGATTTGCATATTCATTCATTCATGGACCACTGTTTCTTGCTTGTACCTCTGGCTGACTAAATTTGGGGACAGATTCAGTCTTGCCTTACACAAAGGGGATCATAAAGTTAGAATCTATTTTCTATGTACTAGTACTGTGTACTGTATAGACAGTTTGTAAATGTTATTTCTGCAAACACCTTATTCTATACATATATATATATATATCAGTTTGATCACACTATTTTAGAGTCTTAATGCCAAGTCAGCAGATTTGCTTTATGAATTACAGGGACTAGAAATGCCCACATTCAGGAAATTTGTAGTAACATTGTCTAGACACTATCCTCATTCTATTAGAGAAAGTCTGTACATACTGTAAATATGTGTGATTGCTTGACTTGAAAAGGTTTGATTTCTGAATGTTATGCCATCCTTGTAAGTTTATAATTTTCACCATAAATTATGGTAAATATAACCAAACTCCAGAGGTTGTTCTACTCCATACAGTTCACACTGATTGTGACAAACACATTCTTAGTAGCTAGTGTCTGTTATAGTCACTGCACTGGAGTATATGAGCCAGAACCCGCTGTACGCACGTGTGTGTATCTGTATGTAAGAGTGTGCATGAGTGATTGCTTGAGGTGAGCTGGAATGCTGAAGACTAATGAAGAAACTAGAGACTGATATCTAGAATTCTACCCACCTGGCTTTGTATTTAATTGTGCTGTACGTTGCTTTATAATCCATTGAGCAGTCAGGGAATGTGAGGAAGCTTGCTGCCAAAGGTAACTAGGAAAGCATTCATCTGCTGGCTCCTTGTTTTTGCTCCTAGAGAGTGAAAATACAGGCAACTTTTACTGTGAGTGTTTCACTGGAAATGTAAAATTGTTGTGTGTTCGCGTATTTGTTTTAAAGTAACAAACGTTTACACAGCTTGTGGAATTATTTTGTGGGAAAATAAATTTTTGTAACTTCTCCCACTTCATTTTCTAACCTTGCCTATTGTTCCTCTTGTTTATCTCCTAGTTACCTATATCATTCCTCCCCACCACCAGTTTCACTGTCAGAACCCAGAAGTGCTTCTTATAACCAAAGTTTCTGCTCTTCAGAAGTAATCAGGGCAAAATGGGGGGACTTGAAATGAATAAAATGTTAAGATTATTTTCCTACATCTACTCTGAAGGGGGGAGAACCTTGAAGATACTATGTCCATGCCTCAATACACTGCTGTAAGAAGCTTACAGTGTTGTTATCATCTTAAGGCTAAAACCTTTTCTGTGTCTCATAAGTGTATATTTTGTCCAGTCATGACTGGACAGCTAAGACAGTATTAAGTGTGCACGTATCTAGCACTTGAAGTTTGTCCCAGGAAAATGCCTACCTGTCAATTCAGATTTGTACATTAATTTATTTAACAAAATAATAATAGTTATAATAATTTACTTTTGGTTTTGCCTCCTTGATTATTCTAAGTTCTTGCCAAATATTCTTAGATTTCTGTAAGTTACACTGTTTTACATTTAATTCATTTCCCTTACCCCCAAGTCTTAAAAATCAGTTACACAGTGTTTTATCAGCTAATATATGCAAAATTTCCCTCAGAATCAATTTATCTGTAAATTAGGTCTCTACATGAAATTTACTGAATATAAAAACTGGCCATATCGTGTAACTTTTTGACAAAATTCTCACATCAAAGGGAAACCATATTCCATTTGCTAAATTGCTATATTTCTGCTACACTTTCATCATGGTAAGATGTTGCCGATTACTGGTCTGATCCTTTCCCATATTATTTCATCCCAATTAATGACTTTGGAATTTTTAAATTCTTGAAGTATAACTGGTTTTACTTGCTGCTATCATTAATCCCTTTCAAAGAATAGTGCTCATAGATTTCATCTTTTTTATTTTGTACTTAGGTTCTTAGTGCAAATCAGTACTCCTCTAAAAACTATACTGAAGGATTTGACATAAGAACATCTACACGTGAAAATTGTATAGAGAGCATATGTGTAAACAGTGTGTAGCAAATTTGTAAATGAAGAAATAATCCCAAGGACAATGGGATATTTACTGACTTGTGGAATGTAAAATTATAGTCTTCACACAGCCAAGGCTTAATCTTAACCTACTCAGTTGTAGAATCATGATTTTTGTAGTCAACCTAGAAAATGCTGGAAATGTACTTAATAGTTCTGTTTTTTGTCATACCCACTTCAGTCTTTCCTATGCTTTTTACTGCTAATTTAAGTTACTGTTACAAAAAGGTGCTGCTAAATGTAGGATGTCTTAGTAATATTGTACTTTGGGACAATGCCACACTTTTAACATGGTCTGCTATGCATTCCTGTTAAACATTCACTGTCAGCTACACTGAACTGTTTAACAAACCTGGTTTAAAGTAATTCATATAAAACAAATAAAGAGCTGGCTTCTGCACTGTTTATTAGTAGTATTAATTGCCATTTTAGGAATGATTCATATAATTGAGACTATGTTAAATATTCAACAACTCTTCCCACTTATGGAGCATCTTCCTTAGGGGTGATGCTAAACACATGATTTCCTTTAGTAATCTTCCCATTATGTCTGATTTAAAAAAAAAATAGCTCAAGGTAGGTAAAAGATTCAAGATCTGACCTCTAGTAGAGTAATCTGGGTCAGTTCTTTAATTTCTGATAATTTATATTTTTACCACTTGTACTTTGCTATTTAAAATGTGACACAGGGTTTTAAAGTAAAATGTACTCAGTGTTGATTTTAAATACTTTTTCTGCTTCATAGACATATCTGTGTTCTTTCCCTTGCATTTTCCTGATTTTTTTCCCCTTCCTGTTGCATTTTTTCTTACATTTCTGTGTCTCTTCATATTATGTTTTATTTTCCAATTTGCTTATTTTTTCTAAAAGGACAAAACCCATGAAAAATTGTCTATGTTCAAAGAAATTTAATAATATTCTTTGTGTCCTTAATGTTTTCATATGCAAATATTTTCCTTCCATTTTGCTGGCATTGCTTATATCCTGATATTTGTTGGTACTAATCAAATGTTTACACCAGTACAATTTTGTTGTTATGCAGATTTTCTAACATTTTCATCCCAGCTTACTTAGCATATAAGGCTTTGCCGAGAGCATGAGAGAAAATGGAGGAAATGGATTTTGTGGGGTTTCTAAAAATACATTTAAAGTTTAAGAAGGTATGCTAAGCCCTGGAAAGAGAAATACCACAGGTAAAGTGTTTCTCTTTAGTCAAATGACATCTATGGGATACAAGGCAGAATGAGGGTTATATATGCTTGAAATAATTTCCCTCTCATTCAGTATCATTTATTGACTATCCGCTCTGAAGCAGTGACTGAAAGGACAGAGTCTCTGCCTCTAGGATGTTTCCCAAGTGTGAACATGGGGCTTAGAGGGCACGGCTAGTAAACTTGAATGACAACGTGTTCAGCGAGTGCTAGGAGACTGACAGAGATGAAGAATGGGACACAGAGAAAGAGAGTGGTGCCTTAACAACTTAGGGAAGGGTGTTTGAGATAGGCTTCTTCAAAGAAGAGTCCATCTAAATAAAGGTCTTACCTGATCGAAGAGACCTTATAATCGTGGATACAATCAGTAGTAATGAGACATTCCTAAAGGAAACCTATAAGGGGAGAAAAATATCAAACTATTAGGCACTTGTTGTTTTCAACTGTGCATTTCATATGCCCAAGGCCCAGTAGCTTTTGCATGGTTTGAATGAAAGCTAACAGCAGTCTGATGTATTCAACACCGCATGAGCTAGACTTTAAACTGCGGCAGGGTACTGGGTATTTTAATAGATCTTATCTAAAAAGCAAGTAGAATGAAACAAGCCTGAGGCTATAATTAATTTTTTTAAAAAACAGTCACTTGTATTGGCCACCATAAGGGGATGTTAGAACATCATTGCAACTGCAAAAATGACCAGTCTTTTGTCTGAGGCCAGATTTGATTGTGAAGTAGTCTTTTTTTGTCTGGATCTATCCTAGGCACAATTGCCTTGTCTGATGGTTTTATGTTCAATAGAACACCAAGGCCCAGCTCTAAGTGCTGGGCCAGTTCCCAGCTGTCAGAAGTTGGTTTTCTCTTTTTCACCATTCTCTAATAACTTGTATATGTTCTAAAAAATGATAAGGTATCCAAATTATAGAATATTCTCATTTTTAAAATCCACAAAGAAAATCATTTTACTTTCTAGTTTAAAATCATGAAAAAAATTAAACATAATAAAAAAGTAGACTATCATTTAGAAGAGGTCCATACTTCATTTGAAAGAGGGTTGATGTCCCAAATAATAAGCAGAGACAGAGTTAGGTAAAATACTTACCTCAGTTATTGGTACATGGTAAATAGTATCCTGAATTCTTGAGGAACTATTACTTAGGAACTTGGGAACAGAAAACAATTTTTTATAATCACATTAAATATTGCTAATTTATTCCTTTTTTAAGATTTACTAATTTTTAACATTAAAAATTACTTGTATTCTTTACAAATATTAGACTCCAAATGAAAATATGTTCCAGGCATCTATAGGCATCTCCCTTTTTTATACTCTAAAACCCATAAAGAAAAAAGTATTTTAAAAACACAAAATGTAATCTCACACATCCTCCTACTTCCTCTATGTCTCTTGATCCTGGTGAAACAGCTGGCAGCCTTTTCTGTTTCCTTAGCAACCATGCCACCACTCAGTTGGCCTGACAACACTTTGGCTGTCCGCAATTTTTTTTTTTTTTTTTATAAACCAATGTCTGGAATTTTCATTTCTGAGGCTCCTTCTCCTATGTGCTTTTGCATTTTACAAATTTTGCAATAAAAAAACCTATACAATCCTTATTTGCCAACCACATCATGTCTTCTGCTCTGGCATCTCTGAGAGAATCAATGTCAGTGTCCTGTAATGGCACAGCAGATGGATCAAATCGCTGCAGCTGTTTCAATTGTTCAAATGATAGGCCAGCTCCCATCATTCCTTCTCCTCCAATCTGTGGTTCCTGTTCGGACAAAGTAAATAAATATGGATGAACGTCCTGTAATTAATAAGTATGCCTGGTACAATTTAAGTTACAAGACAAATCGAGTTGTAATGACCACATCTTCCAACTACAGAAAAATGTGTAAATGCCTCTTATTTTTTGTGGAAGATATGTGCTGTTTTCTGGGCAGTATAGCGGGAAAACAGTACTATGTAGTCAGCTGAATGAGTACCTATTACCTATTATGTCCTACATGCTTATTAAGCACTGTGACATTACAAAGGCCTGAGCTCTCTGGTTAGAAGCACATGGATTCAAATTGATGCTGTCACATTTTAGCTATGTGACCTTAAGCAAGTAACTTTACCTAACCCCATTTTCCTCATCTGTAAAACAGATAAAATACTCAGTTCTAAGGCTTAGAACTGAAGGTGGTATCATGCCCATCACAGAGCGGGCATTCAGTAAATGGAACATTATTACCAATAAAGCAATAATATTCTGCTTTATCATTCTCTAAAACTCTGAAAGGAGTTCCTTAGGCATCTAAGATCTCTCTCTCTCTCTCTCTCTGACCTATACCAATTGGATGATAAAAGTTTTTTTTCTTGTTTTTACATGGACTACAAGAACAAAGAAAGGGATACATAAATTGAGGCTGTATCAACTAATTTAGAGGAATAAAGTCATAAGGAATTGAGTGATACTTGCAAACCACTACTGAAAAAGATCTATAATCCTAAATGGTGACTTTAAGTCACCATTTCACAGACAAATGTTTGTATGTTAATAAGACAGGTTTTGAGACATATAGTTAACAAAACTATTATAGTTTATTATCTCATGGGGATAAAGGGAAAACTCACTCTCTCTCAGGTACATACTGAGTATATGTGTATGTTTGCATATACTTCCAAGTGAATTATGAAGGTGTCCCTCCATCTTAAATTCTGAGTCTGGAAACCATCTCTAAATTGTTTTTATTTATGTATTCCAATTAGTTACTTTCTGCATAGGGAGGTTCTAAAGTTAGATGTTCAGCATATTTAAATGAATGTGAGCATTATTACAGATTTAAACTTAATCTCAAATGCCCTGGGCTAAAAATTGAATCCTAAATACAGTCTTAATAAAGACTAACAGAAAGTTAGACTAGCGCTAGGTAAAAAAGTACAACAGAGCTTTTTAAATGTTACACAGTGTATGTAACAGATTGTAAGGAAGCAATAATCCTGAACTACTTTTTGTCCTCTTGACTGGTCTTTTGATATCCCACAGTTATTAAAGCCTTGTTTGGGCTTTGATGTGACATGAGAAAAAATGCTCAACATTTGCCATATCAGAAATTTACAGGATTGGGAAGGCAAAAAAAAAAAAAACATTAGAAAGAAAGAGCCAAGTAACATGAACAGTAACAATTCTGCAAATGGAATCAACACAATAAAAATGCAGGCAAGCTCTGTGCCATTTTAACACAATGGCCAGGAACAAAGACAGGCAAAAACTTTGTCAAGACATGCAAATTCTCTAATTCTCTGTGGGCAGTCTAAAATGGATCTAATTAGAAAAACATTGCATATGACAGTAATCATTTCACAAGTTTAGCTTGACATATTTCTTCTTGTAACACCCTTGTATCACCACGCTTCTGTTTCTGTGACTTACCTGATTGCACAGAGGAAAACAAAACTACCTTACCTGGGGCTGAAGCTGCAGGCAAGGAAACGTTGCCAGGGCCCAGGCAACTTGTTCTTCATTTTCTGCCAGTGTTATAGTGCATGTGCTATAAACCAGCACACCCCCTGGCTTCAGCAGCTGAACTGCCTAAAGAAAACTGTAATTAGACCACGTAGACCAAAAGATCAAATAAATATCTGAAGGAATTTCATAGCATAATAGATGCATCCTTTCCAGTGTTTGGGATAAATAAAATGATGATGTATGTGATACGATTCCTTCTCTAATTATGTAAGAATGATACTTGCCCAAAGTAGATGTATTTCACTAGCTTGGAGCTGTCATACTCCATATGGACCAAGACTTTCCCAAATACAGTCGTTCAGATTCATGCCTTTAGGTACCATTTTTATGCTTAAACTCACAAATTTACATTTTTAGGCTAGACATCCTTTCTAAATTCCATATTCAAATATTCAGTTGCCTTCTTAACATTTCTATTATCAAATTTAACATTTCCCAAAATGTGAAATTTGAACTCCTATCTTCCCTTTGAAATCTACTGCATAAGTCTTCACATCCTTCCAGATGCTCACATCCCAAACCTCAGATTATCCTTTATGCTTCTCTTTCTCTTACATTCCCCCCTCTCACATTCTATTGGCTCTACCTTCAAAACATAGCCAGAATTTGAACACTTCTCACCACTTCCACTGCTATCCCTTTGGTCCAAGCCTCTTTCTCTTTTGCCTGGATTATGGCAACAGTCTCCCACTTAGTCTACCTGCTTCCTTCCCCACCCTCCTGCAATCTAGTCTCAACACAGCAGCCAGAGCAGTCCTTTTAAACTTGTCCCTTCTCTGCCCCAAACCCTTCAAATGACCTCCATTATCACTTAGAGTCAAAGCCAAAGTCCTTATAGAAGCCTTCAAGTCTGGTTGCCTTTCTGAGCTCCTCTCCTATACTTCTCACCCTTGCTCACTCCCCTTTGGCAACACTGGCCACCTGCTGGTCCTAGAATGTGTGCAAGTACACGTCCACCTTAGGATCTTTGCACCATCATGGAAAGCTCTAATTCTCTGCAGACTTGCTCCTTCGGAATCTCTTTATCTTTGCTTGTATGTCATCTCATGAATGAGGGCATGGATTATCTGTTCTCTCACTACTATACTGGCAACATCTAGAATAGTGTCTTGCATATGTTATAGTAGGTGCTCAGTGAACATTTGTGGAATAAGTGAATCACGAAATAAGGTGTTATGCTAAAATGTGATATGTCCCAAATACCTGAAGTTGATACTTTCACAAACTTCCACTTTTTTTTTTTTAATTTGAATGAAAATTTCTAAAAATACAGTAAATACTTGGGCTTTTATTATTATAATTTTTTTCAAAGACACAGGGTTTCACTCGGTCACCACCCAGGCTACAGTGCAGTGGCATGATCATAGCTCACTGAAGCCTCAAACTCCTGGACTCTAGTGATCCTCCTGTTTCAGCCTCCCAAGTAGCTAGGACTACAGGCATGCACGACCATGTCTTTTTTTTTTTTTAAAGAGACTCAGTCCTGCTATGTTGCCCAGGCTGGCGTCAAACTCCTGGCCTCAAGCGACCCTCCCACCTTGGCCTCCCAAAATGTTGGGATTATAGTGTGAGCCATAGCACCCAGCCTACTTGTGCTTTTTTAACCAGAGTATGCTAATCAAAATTTAAACTTTGTTACTATGTGCCAGTTACTGTGTTAAAGGCTTTACATGCCTTCTCTCAATAAATCCTTATAATAACACTGAGGTAAGGTTACTATCACCAATAGGAAGAGCTATTATCCCTCTTTCTCCATTGTGAAAGCCAATGGACCTACAGTCACTTATGTGGAGGAGCCAGGGCTGGAATCAAGACATGCCTGATTCTAAAGTCTGCATTCTCAATTTCTGTCCCTGCCAAATGGCACCCCTATTACACTCTCAAGTTCTCTCTCACCACTGTAAGCTTTTCCATTTCATTGAGATCATCACTGCATATACTCCTGGTAGCCTTTTAAAATTTCCTTTTTGCTATGACCTAAAAAGAACAAGAAACCAAGTCCTTTACAGCAGAATCCTAATTTTACCCTGAAGTCAAAGGGCATTTCAGATATAAGAAAAGCTTCCTTTTTGTTGCTTGCTGTTTTTAATTCCAAGGATTTGTTCTTTGAAGACTATAATAGAAAAAATAAGAAGTTAAATGATCCACAACCAGTGCTACCTTTGTGTATGAAAGGAGATACCAGAGTTGAATAGAAATGTACTCAAAGACAACTTTACAGACTGAATAATTATAGAATATCTATTGCTATTGTAGCCTATGAATTTATAATTGGAGGGCGGAAAAGAAATAATTTTGTTTTTGATCAAATGCTGGCCATACTCTGTAAAATCTACTACTGAGTCATTTTTACAAGACTGAGAGAAATCCTCAAATGTTCTATCTGGGCTTCCTCTAAAACGTACTGGAGACCAGTTAAATCTACACAGGTTTTCATGGTTCTTTCATCCTACATTGGCCCATCACTTCCCATTTTTATCAATGGGTTTGCCTCTATTGGACTTCCTACTTCTACTTTGCTATATAAGATGACCCAGGAACCCTATAAAAAAGGAGCGATTTATTTTATATCCAATTCTTCATATCAATTAGTAACTATATGTTAACAACTAAGTGACTTTTCTAAGAGCACAATGTTTGAAATTTATTAAATGTCTCAGTGAAGAAATTCTACTATTGCCTTTTTTATCTTAAGGGGTGACTCAACAAAGGAAAGCTTCCTGTATTTAAGACTAGAACTTGTCAATCTTTTGTGTTCGTGTGTGTGTGCGTATGTAGTAAAATATACAGAACATAAAGTTTACCATTTTCGGTGTACAATGACTCTCAGTGTATTCACATTATTGTGCAATCATCACCACTATCCATCTCCAGAACTTGATCATCTTAAACTGAAACTCTGTATCCATTAAACAATGACTCCTCATTCTCCATTCCCCCACTCCCTCAGTAACCTCTATTCCACTTTATGTCTGTATAAATTTGCATATTCTAGTTACCACATATAAACAGAATCATACAATATTTTTCTTTTTATGTCTGGTTCTTTTCACTTAGCATAATGTTTTCAAGGTTCAACCATGTTGTAGGATGTACCAGAATATCATTCCTCCTATTTTAAGGCTGAATAATGTTCCATGTATGGATATGCTATGTTTTGTTTACCCATTAATCTGTCAATGATTTCTTGGTTGTTTCCATCTTTTGGCTATTGTGAATGATACTGCTGTGATTATCACTGTCAGTTGATGGAGCATCAAACTAGCAAAGTCAACTTTCTTTCATAGCAAAGATCATCACATACCACAGTAAAGAGTCTTCTTTGTAATGGTTGATAAGATGTTACTTCCTTCAAAGTCCAAGTACAAGCCATGTTTGGTCTCTGTCCCATTCCACTGCAGGGTGCATCAAGAAGAATTCGGTCAAAAGTTTCTGGCAAGAAAGGAGGTCCCCCTGTAAAGAGAATTAGAAACATATTTACTATCTGTCCTATTGGTCTAGAATAGAAAACTCTTGAGACAGAAGCAATGATTAGGAATTTAAAATCATAATCTGGAATAGAAAATTTAAAAAATAACTTCTCCCTTCATCCAGTAGCTGGTTAAACTAATTCTGACTTACATTTAATATAGATATAACTTTGTAGAAAGGTTAAAAATGTGGTTATTATAGTTAGGGGTTATTTTGTTGATACAGTATAAAACAAGGCCTAATTAAACAAGACCTTGAACTCGCAACTTCAGGAGCCACATAGATAAATACATAATAAATAGATAAATGTTCATCTATATTTCCTTCCAGTTTAACTCCTGACACTATTTAATCCATCTTGAACTTACTTTTGTGTATAGTCCTTTTCCCTCTTCCTCTAAAAGTAAATCAACTCAGAACTATTTATTGACTAATTACTCTTTCCTCCAGGATTGAAATGCTACTTTTATCATATATAGAATTCTTGAATGTAGATGGACCTATTTGAAAGGCTCTGTCCTGCTCCAGAATATGCAAGTTTTCAAGTACTGTTTTTCTGAGTGCCAAATCTAGCCTTCTGTATTACTCTGCAAACTACAATTCTCCTTTGCCTGCTGGCTTCCTTTAAAGAGTCACCAATAGAAGGCACCGGAGTGATGGGGTAGGGAGACAGGAGACAAGTAGCAAAGAGAACAGACTTTGTTCTTCCTGTTTACTTGTTGTTCCTGTCAAAACCATCCCAGCAACATCCCTGTATGATGGCATCAGCAGTTTCTAGCCTTCTCCCTTAAATATCACTATGGAGTAGACAAGGCCTCCTCCTTTGAGAGGTCTAAGTCCCAGCTTCAGGAAGTGCCCTGCTCTGAATGCCAAGGAACAAGCAGCAGCTAGGCAGTCCCCCCTGCATTTCTCCTACTACAGGGGAAGAGACTGCTCCCTGCACTTACCAACTCCAGGTTGCCCCAGGGCTCTCCAACATCTATTCAGCTAGTTCCTTATATTGTTTATTCATATTAAATCTCTCTTTAGTATCAATTTAAACTAAATCCTAATAGCTTATAGAGTTTTCTTTTAATCCTATGGCCACATGAATTCCTCTAAAAACAGCTCTCAACAATTTTTTAAAGGCCAGCAAATCTGCAAGCCCACAACATACCTTTGTGTGTAGTAGAATAAGGGGCCCAAGCTCCACAGTAACACAGTCTTGCACCGTAAACAACAAACCATGAGCTGCATCTATCCTCAGCCAGATGGCCTTGCACATGGTGGCCCTGTTAAGGGTAGCGGCAATGCCTCACCATTTCTAATAAGCGCTACCTTTCATGGAAGATACTGGATGATGATTATGTAGACATTCAATTAAGAAATTCCTAAAAGTATTCCAGACCTTTCCCAGAACAGACCAAGATGACCCTCAAATTTACCTGGTGAAAGTGAAAGTTCTTTTATTCAAAATCAAAAAGGTAGGGGATACATGTGAAGTAGTAAAAGAATACCTATGTTTTTATTTATATAAAGCTTTTTCACATAATATATAATCTTATAATTATATTTAGGGATCTCTAAAGCTGCATTACTTTGGAGTGGTATATAATTTAGTAGCAATTTTATGTTAATAACAAATGAGATTGAGGAGGCTTTTGGAATATGGGCATTAGAAGTTCTGTAGATCCTCTCCTTCCAGAAAACCAAAAACAACCATTTAAAGTCTCTAGGAAATGTCTAAAGACATACAGCAAAAGAAGAAAGATTTATTCAAGACAATCTACTACATTTCAGTAAGACCAATGAGAATCTGTAGCATCTGAGCCACAACCCACTCCTTTTCCCCTTTTCCCCAACTGCCTGCCCCCTCCCTGAAGCTCTGAATGAAAGATCCATTTCATGTGGGTGGAGACAAGAATACATAACTCTCTCTTCTCCCTAAACTCCTAGTTAAGGAATGCAAGGAATGCTGTATCTCACTAAGAGGGGCAAGGCTTGTCAGCATTTCTCATTTGCCCCAGCTCCACACTGTACAAGCTCTGATTCCATGAAAGAGCAGCTGAAAATTCTGGGGATTTCCCACCCGGTAAGAGTGGCCCCCACAGATGGGAAGCTCTACCCCAGGCACATTAGGCTGAGAATACCAAAGACAGATTGTCATCGCCCCAGCCCACAGTGAAGAAGTTCCACTCTAGTAGAGGCAGGCCAAAAAGATCAGAGGGTGCCACCCCAACTCAGCAGCAAGAGGTCACTCCAAGACAAACAGGCCACTCTCCTGCCCTCATCTATGGAGCAATGGCCCTGAGATTCTGCCCAAGGGAAGAGGCAAAAAGGAAGAACAGAGTTCTGAAGATCTCCCCAAGTGAACTGGCATGATTTAGAACAAAAATGGGAAAGTTTAAACCTCAGGGCACTCCTGAAAATAATAGAGATCCAGTAATAAACAATCAGGAGGATGCTGGTAGCTCCACAAAGGCAAGAAACTAAACCATAGACCAGAAAAAAGTTTATCAGAGAACCAAGGAATGAGACAGTAAGAAGAGGCTTACTGGGATGGGAACAAACCTCAAACACCAGTCTCAAAGATTACCTATGCAAAGTGTCTCAGATTTATTGGATCAGATAATGGAGCAATTTATATTCCAGGACCTGGTTGAAAAGAATAGAGCAATCAATCTGCAGTTAGTAGAGGCTAACAACTCTTTGTAGTACCAGCTGAAGTATACACAAAGATAAATATATAAATATATATTATTTAATATAAATATTATCTTTATAAATATAAATATTTATAAGTATAGCACAAAGATCAAGGAAAGAGAAGACCCTGCTAAAGCCAGTGTCATCCCAGGATTGCTATGCACATTCTGAAGGCTGGTGAGGAATTACAACAACAGCTGCACATGAAGAAAAAGACTTTTATTAAAATAGTCTGGCCATCACACTAAACAAACCAACAATAACAAGTCAGAGAGGAGGTAGATTTGTATGCAGAATTGTTCAAATTTATCTAAAGTGTCCAGGTTTAAACAAAAAAAGTATGAAATATGCAAAGAAAAAAAGAATGACCCATCAATAGGGGGGGAAAAAGCATTGAAAAGGAACTATTTTTTAAAAGGTTTAGTTGCCAAACTTAGCAAAGACTTTAAAGCAGCCATTAAAAATATGTTCAAAGAATTAAAGGAAACCATGCTTAAAGGAGTAAAGGAAGATATGGTGACAAAGTCTCATCAAATAGAATATCAATAGGGAGAAATTATTTTATTAAAAAGAATATTACAGAGTTAAAAAAGTTCAATAACTTAAAAAAATCCACTAGCGGGGTTCAACCAGAGTTAAGCTAACAAAAAAAATGAGTGTGCTTGAAAACAGATGAATACAGATTATATAATCCCAAGGTCAGAGAGAAAAAAGAATGAAGTATTACTAAAATGAACAAAGACCTCAGAGAAATGTATGACACCATTAAAAGCACCAACTTAGGCACAATATTAGTGCCAAAAGGAAAGAAGAAAAAAAGAGGAGAAAAATATTCAAAAAAATTATGGCTGAAAACTTCCCACACTTCATGAAAAACATAAATCTACACATCCAAAAAGGTCAACTAACTCTAAGTTGGAAAAATGCAAAAAGATTCACAACCAGGCACATCATCATAAAAATGTTGAAAGCCAAAGGCAAAGAGAAAATCTTAAGGGCAGCAAGAGAAAAACCACTTTCCATGTACTGGGATATTATAGTAAGATTAACAGCTGTGACTGCTCATCAGGACAATAGAGGCCAAATGATAGTAAGATGACATATTCATAGTACAGAAAGGAAAAAAAAAAACAAAAGAAAACACTGTCTACCAAGACTTTTATATTCAGCAAAACTAACTTTCAAAAATAAAGATGAAAAAGTCCAGGCACAGTGGCTCATGCCTGTAATCCCAGCGAGGGCTGGGAGTTAAAGATCAGCCTGGGCAACATACTGAGACCCCATCTCCACAATAATAAAAATATTTAGCCAAGTGTGGTGGTGTGCACTTATAGTCCTAGCTACTCTGGAGACTGAGATGGGAAGATTGTTTAAGCTCACAGGGTTCAAAGATGCAGTGAACTATGATCATGCCACTGCCTTGGCGACAGAGTGAAACTCTCTCTTAAAAAAAAAAAATAAAGGTGACACAGAGATTATCAGTTCTTCTAGGAAGACATACAAATGGCCAACAGGTATATGAAAAAATGCTCGACATCAGTAATCATCAGGAAAATGCAAATCAAAACCACAATGACATACCACTTCACCCCAATGAACACAAAGAAACAGAGAGTAGAATGGTGGTTACTAGGGGTTGGGGGAGGTGGGAAGGAATAGGGAAGATGCTGTTGAAAAGGTAAAAAGTTTCTGTTAGGAGAAGTAAGTTTTTGACATCTATTGCCCAGATTGGTATCTATTGCATAGTGGAAACTACAGTTAATGTATTTTATATTTCAAACTTGCTAAGACTAAATTTCAAATGTCTTACCACAAAAAGTGATTGAGGTGATGGATATGTCAATTAGCTTGTTTTATTCATTCCACATTGTATATGTAACCAAACTTCACATTGTATCCTATAAATATACACAATTATGATTTCAATTAAAAATAGTAAAAACAAAATTTAACTTACCTTCTGTGTCCTCAACCATATCAAGTTTAACTGCCTTTGTTCCGTCAAAGCAAAATGCCCTGATGGACTTCAGCCTTAACAATAAGGCATTCTGCCTTATTTTTTCTACTTTGTTGAAAATTTTATCCAGTGCTATCACTTCTCCCTAAAAAGAAACAAAAAATGCAGAAAAAAATAGAATTAAATTAAATCCAAAGCAGTTGTGAAAATTAACAATGATAAAAAGACAGTGAAAAATTATGGTCTTCTCTCCACTTTCTTTCTACTCCTCCTTTTAAAGCTGAATTCATTAACCAAATGCATATCCAATTTATATCAAATACTTAAGTCTTTCCATTTAAAAAGCTCATTCTTGCCAGAAAATAATTTTATAATGGCTAGCTTTTAATCAACAAAACTCAAAACCAAAAAAAAAAAAAAAGGGCTTACAGTTTTCTAAAACTTTAAAACATCCATTGGAGGTAAACATTAAAAATCACCAATTTTATGTCCCTTGCTCACCTCTCTAAGAACATGAACTAACGCTATGAGACAGCTGCCTTAAAGTGTTGTGACATGCAAAAGAACATTACTTGTAGAACTGATCCTCATTTTGATATTTTCCAGCTGCATATATAAAGTATCTGTGAATTACCATAACTTACTCCAGAAAAATATGAGCCAAACCTCTGTCTATGATAGCAAAATGTTCTGCAGTGGTATAAAAAGCAGTTCAAAAATAATTTTGTATGGTTAACACTTCATATAAGTCAAAGTCAATAAAGACAAGAAGTCACAATTTTAAGAATGAATTCTGACATGAATGTGATATTTTAAAACATATATGATATTACAGAGGCAATGGGGTTGACCCTTCTATATATTTTCTTGTTTTTGTTCCTTTTACCTACTCCGTCCTTGTATGAAATATGCATCAATACAGAAAATTTGCAGATAATGTTCCTAAACGTCACCAGGTTCAGTGACAGACATTGTTTCAATTAATACCTTGACAAACAGGAAAACCATTTAAAAGTGAGTTGAACTAGAAAAGTAGTCAAAAACAACCAAAATAAGGTTCAAATGTACTATAGTGAAGGAGAAACTTCACTGGCTGAAGGCTACTTTTACAAAACTACAAGTCTGGAGGGTGCATTTATATAAAATTTGCTTACTTACTAAAATAAACAACAAATAATCAAAAAACAGCAACAAAATTTGGGGTTCTAGTCTGACTCAAGTATTTCTATTGGAGTTGTTCATTTCTACACTGCTGTATCACTGTGGTAGATTGCTTAAATAGCTTCAATTCTTCAACCCCCATGTACCCTCATCTTTCACCAGATAACACTGCAATACCCAGTACCTTGTGACTCAGGCTCAGCCATGTGATTTGTTTTGGCCAACAGGATGATAGTAAATGAGATGCAAGGTATGATGAAAAAAATATGATGAAGGTGATTGCAGTTGGACTTACTCTGCTCTCTGCCATCACCAGCCACCAACTATTGCCCTCTGCTGGGCTAGCCTTAGTCCTAGCAGGAGTAAACACACATGGACCAGAGGCAGGCATCCTCCCCTCTGGTCCTCTTCATCTTCAGCTGAGCCTGCTTTAGGTAAGCCAACACCATCCAAACCCAAGTGAATGAGCCCACCTGAGATCATTAGAACTGCCTGGTTAACCTGCAGCTGACCAGTCCACGAGTGACCCCAGCAGGAACCAGCTGCATCCCACAGACTCCTGCATCAAATCCATATTTAGGAATATGCTGCCAAGATTTTGTGTTTGGTTTTACACAGCATTATAAAACCAACTGAAAACACACTTATAATACCCAGATACTCTTTGGAAAGACTTTTTTACTGAGAGAATAAAATACCTATGAATAATTACCTTTAAGCAAATACAATAAATATACCATAAACTAAAAAGGATCACTTTCTCAAAGCATGTCATAATCAATCTTTACCTTTAACTTTCCAAGTAAACTGGAAAATGATTTGCGTTAAACACCACAACTCCATAAAATGAACCCTTCTATTTTATGTGTTTCATTTTACGCATTAGTGGTATTTAATGCATTGGTCCTTCAAGAGTTTTGATTGTTAACACCTTAAACTCTTTGGGGGCAAACAAGAGTATAAACAAACAGGCAAGTAAATCACCCCGAGTGAACCAAGTATCTTTTTCCATTGGAGATATTTCTTAGACCTAAGGCTATTCATGGAGGTCAAACCAGTGCTACTCGTGTGTGTGTATGGTGTGTGTGTGTGTATGTGTAGTGTATATATAGTATGTATATACATATATATTTTTGTGTGTGTGTGTAGTGCAGAGATGGTAGCTTTGACCCTTCAATGTATTTATTGAAAATATAAATTTTTATATTCATACTTTTTTCTCTCCTCTGCTTGTGACATTGTGAATATTTCAAAAATTCAAATAGGGTTAAATACGAATGTGTAATGTCAATTTTCATCAAAGTCTTCGGATAACATGATTTGTACTTATAAAAGGGAAAAGCTAAAATTTCATTTTGACAATAACTTTTTCTGCATTTTTCAGTGTAAGATTGCTTATAAATCCCTTGAAAACCTTAAAAATCATCAACTATTGATTAAAAACTATTGATAAAGTCTACCACCTGGCACTTTTGGGGGTGGGAGCACAGATAGTATGACACATCTTTTATCAAGTAAATGAGTTGGAGCAGAAGGGTTTTGCTAAGCCTTATGGAGGTATGTTTTTTATGTCAGGAAGTCTTGCCCCAAGTAAGTAATATTTTCTTAATTATACATTAGTATCAGGAAAGTAACTGCCAAGTTTCCTAGGTTCCTAAGACTTTCATACACTGTATAAATCTGAGTTAATTTAGAAAAGTACAACTGGTCTCCTATCTCTCCCTTTTAAAATTCTTGCCAAAGAATCTGAGATGGATTCTGTAGCACATCACAATTATTTCTTCAACTCTCATGTCACTCACTCCCTCGTATACACATGACAAAAACACTGCTATGGTTAAATTAATTCTTCATCAACTTCAGGTCTACCCACATGCAGCTGAAAAGCATACAACCACAACAACTAATCTCACTGCAAATTTATGACCACCACATTCATGAGGCCCTCAGTGAAAGCTGGAATTCTTATGACATGTTCATAGCCCATTCTAGCTTGCATTTTCCTAGCTTCCTATTTCATACCTTCTCAAAACTCTTACTACCTCCTTTCCATCCGCATTCTCATCTGATGACCTTGCTTATTTCATTGAGAAAACTGAAACAGTAAGAGAACTTACAGTCTGTTTCCAAGTCTACCAACCCAGCAACACTTGCAGCCATGCACTTGGCCTTCCCTCCTATTTCCATAGATAGACTGCCTCATGCGACCATCTAAAGCCACTTGTGTATCAAATTCTAGCCCATCCAGGTGGGAGGGGGGAGGGGGGCGGGTATATACATACATAATGAGTGAGATGTGCACCATCTGGGGGATGGTCATGAAGGAGACTCAGACTTGTGGGGGGAGTGGGGGAAATGGGCATTTATTGAAACCTTAAAATCTGTACTCCCATAATATGCCGAAATAAAAAAAAAAATTCCAGCCCATCTCACCTATTCAAAGATACTGTTCCAGTCATGCTCTCCTTTCCCAGATGTTATCAATTTCCCCTTTTAATGTATCATTCTCATTAGCATACATTGTTATGTCTCATCTTAAAAAGAAAAAACTCCTTGAGCCCCATATCATTCTCCAACTAGTGCCCTATTTCTCTGCTCTCCTGTATACCACCTCCCCCCCTCAATTCAATCTTTGATTCCTCCCATTCTCAATCCAAACAAGCATTTACATTCACCAAAACTGTGACAAAGTCACCAATAACCCATATGCTGCTAAGTCCAGTGGGAGTGCTCAGTCCTCTTTTTACGTGGCTTATCAGCATGCTTTAACATGGTTGACCCCACCATCTTCTTTTCACCTCTTTCTTCACATGGTTTCCACGGTATCACACTCCTCTGATTTTCCTCCTACACCACTGGCCATTCCTTCTCATTTCCTAACCTCTGAATGCTGGTGTTCAGTACCCAGGCACCTCACTCTTCAGATCTTCTCTAGTTTCTCTGTCCATTCATCATCAGCTTTATGGCTTTACATATCATCAATATGTTGACGACTTCTAAATTTTTATGTCCAGCCCAGACCTCTCCCCTGGACTCATATCAAATTGCCCACTAAAGTCCATCTTTTCGATGTCCAGTAGATACCTCATTTTAATATATCCAAAACTCAATTTCTGATTTTTCCCTGCAGAACTTGCTCCTCCCACAGTCACATTTATCCAGCAGCAACTCCATCCTTCCACTTCCTAGGGCCCCAAACCTTAGGAATCACCTTGGAATATTCTCTCAATTCCACAACTCACATTCCAATCCCTCAGCACATCCTAATAGCTTTACTTTAACATACTCAGAATCTGACCACTTCCTACCACCTGTACTACTCTTCCCTGAATTACAGTCTCCTAACTCATCTGTTTCTGCCCTTGCCCTTTTATTTTTTATTTATTTTTTCCAGCATATTATGGGGGCACAAATGTTATTTTCCCTTGCTACCCCTACCCCTCGAGTCAGAACTTGAAGCATGTCCAGCCCCAGTTGGTGCAGATCACACTCATTATGTATATATATACCCATCCCCTCCCCCCCACCTGCCCGACACCTGATAGATGTTATTCCTATATATCCACTTATGTGTTGATCACTTAATACCAATTTGCTGGTGATGCTCTTGCCCTCTTATAGTTTGTTCTCAATCCAGCAGCCAAAATGGCATCATTACTTTCTTAGGTAGACTTATGTCATTCTTTTACTCAAAAACTTACCATCACTCTTAAAACTGAAATCCCATCAGACCCTACACAGCCACTCTGCCCAAACACCCTCCTCTGCCCCAACCTTTCTGATCTCTTTTTTCTTCCTACTACTCTCCTCCTCACTCTATTTCATCAAAACTACTGAGGGTCCTCAAACAAGTCAGGTACCCTCCCACCTCCAGGCACTTATTGTTTCCTCAAGCTAGAACATTCTTTCTACAGACCTCCATATTGCTCATTACCTCCAGGTCTTTCCTCAGATACTACATTCACAGTGTGGACTTTGCTCATCACCTTACTTAAACTGCAAACTCCTTCCCCACCCACCCCTCAATAGTCCCTATTCCGCTAATCCTCCTATATTTCTCACCACAGCCCTTACCACAATCATAAATGTCATATCTTTTATTCGTTTATTGTATGTTTCCTGCCACTAAAATATAAGTTCCATGAAGATAGAAATATTGGTCACTATGGTTCAATGCTATATTCCCAATACCTGGTACATAGGTACATATTTACCATAAATAAATATTTACTAGTTGTTCAGTCAATACAAATCTGACTTCAGATTAAAGAATTTATTATAGGTTAAGATAACAGCATGTGTAAGGATTTTAGGAACCACTTAGTTGTGTGCACAATTTGAAACAAATAGGAAAAATGGTATCAACTGGCAATATCCTTCTTGAGTTGAAGAATCTCAGTTTTAAGAACATAATGGTTCCAAGGCCACAAGGAGTTTTGAACACAGATAAAACCAGCCCATAATAAACGAGAACACCTTGGCAAATATACATACACAGGAAAAAAGCAGTAAAATCTGAGCTTAAGTTATTCAAGGACAAACTTAACTCATACTTTGTGACAATGATTCAGGGTTTATAATTAAGCAAGATCATAAGGTTTATATGACCCTCAAGACAAACACACACATATATGTTCATGTATTCTGTATCTATGTGTGTGTACATATATCAACATATATATATTCTTCACACTTTGATAACGTACTGTCAAGTTATTTTGTAGTGACAGAATTTAATAGGTATAAAATTTTATAAAATAGGTATAAAATTCTATAATTAAGAAAAGATCTCCTAAATGTTTCAGTTAAACTTAATTTTATGTGGAAGAATTCTGTTCTATAATTGAATTAAAAACTAGGGAATTCAAGGTCTTTATTCAGTCTTCATAAATTACAACAGTCTACTACACTCAATATGTGGTGACTGACATAACTGAATAGTCTTTACTTTGAATGAATCTGAAATAAATCAGATTATGAATGGCTGTATTTTTCCTAAGTTACATATACTTCCACCTTCGCTAGTAAAAAATATGAGGGCTGCCTGAAAAGTATCCAGCCTTTTAATATGTTCTTGCTATATTAACAATGGCTGCATACTTTCCAGACAGCCCTTGTATGTAACACTGAGTAGCTGTTGCCAAGATAATCTCACCTGATCCTGCATCAGTGCCGCAATGTGTGTTGTTTTGCCTCCAGGTGCTGCACACAAGTCTAAGATTTTCTCTCCAGGTTGAGGATTCAGAACATGAGTAACTAAGGCAGAGGGCAAATTCTATAAGAAAAAAATGCACTAAATTACCAATGATTCTAAATCATTTTTAATTTCAGACTCACAGACTGTAAAGAAACCTTTTGAGGTAATCCAGTACAGCATTCTCAAGTCTGCCAAGATTATAGTTTTTGCAAATATGCGAGGTCGGGAAATTCATAATTTCCTAGGATATTCTATGGTCTCACATGACTTAACACACATAGCACACTTGCATATTAAACACACAGATGAATTTTCTAGTCAATCCAGAGTTTCTGCCCTGATATCTGTGTTTTCTGGGTACCAGCAAAAAAATATAAATAAATAAATCATAGTGCTGTTTCTTAATTCCAATGGTTCTCAATATTTTGGAGGTCAGAGACCTCTAAAATTATGAGATTTCTCTGCATCGTTTTTCCAAAAATGTGCAAAATTTTGCAATTTTGGGTGCCTCACTATTTAATTCCCTTTTAAGAATCCTTGTTTGATGCTGCTAATGCCATCCAAAAGGCATACTTGGGCCCCAGCTCATTACCACCATATTACATGTCAGCAGGAAAAAATAAAATGTGAAAAAAATCCTAGCTATTTCTGATTGTCTCCTAAAAACATGAGATTATACAATCTAAACATAGCTCCATCTATAGCAGTGTTATACCATGTGTTGTAAGTCTTAATTACAAAAAGACTGCTACTATGGGATGACAGCCTTGTATAAAATAGATAATCACAAGTAATTCATTTTTAAAAATACTTGGCAAGAAAAAAAAAGTGGATGCTAAAACAAGCATGAACAATTTTTAAAGCTTACAGGTTTCAGTTAACTCTCACCAAAACAATGAACATGACAACCACTAATATGTCCTCAAGAACTACGTGAGAAGGTTGCGACATTCTCAAGTGAATCTAAAACCACTACTTCAAAACAGAAACTCAATGGTGAAAAAGAAGTTGCAAACAAGTGAGTTTCCCCTTTCTATCAATATATGAAGCATTAAAATCAGGACGGGTGTGGTGGCTCATGCTTGTAATCCTAGCATTCTGGGAGGCTGAGGCAGGCAGATTGTTTGAGCTTAGGAGTTTGAGACCAGCCTGAGCAAGAGCGAGACCCCATCTCTACTAAAAATAGAAAGAAAGTAATTGGCCAACTAAAAATATATAGAAAAAATTAGCCAGGCATGGTGGCACATGCCTGCAGTCCCAGCTTTTCGGGAGGCTGAGGCAGGAGGATTGCTTGAGCCAGGAGTCTGAGGTTGCTTGAGCTAGGGTGATGCCACGGCACTCTAGCCAGGGCAACAGAGTGAGACACCGTCTCAAAAAAAAAAAAAAAAAAATCAATGCAAATATATAAGCATCAGTGGGTAGCTAAATCTAGGGAGAAATCTTAATGAGGATATTTGGATGATTTTTTAAGTTTCTCAGTGGCAAGGGGAGAAAAAGGTAATTACATGTTTTGTGGAGAAATCAGATGACATCTTGAAAGGGTGATCAAAATGAATACCACCAATGAGGGATACATAGCTATGGCATGACTCCGAATGTGAAACCCTGAGGTTCATACATGTGAATTTTTGTTCCACACATGGAAATACCTGATAGCACCAATAAGCGATGATAAGTAAGTGAAAAAGTACAAAACATAATACAATCTATGGATTTTGGCAAGCTTTCTCATATGACAGGGATCTCATAAAACAGTACATTCAGCCTATAGCAATAATGAAAGCCCAGAGAAAATGTCATTTTCCAACAAAGAACAATTCTATTAGACTAAGACAAAATACACGATCATAAGACATAAAAGTTGATTATAGACAATAAGTGTGAATTCACTATAAAAAAAGGAAATAAACAGGATTAAATTACATAATGTCTAAAAAGTGCTTAGCACAGTGCCAGATGCAAAATATTTCTAAATTATTGGTTATTATCTTAGAAAAAAATCTCAAAAGTTGACATTTCCTTGTATGGTGGTTCCCAAACCTGGGTACGGATCATAAAACTCTTGTGAAGATCAAAACATACAAACAGCAGAGATGCCAGTGCCCACCCCAGACCTACTGAATCAAAGTCTCCAGGGGGATACCACATACCCCCTGATATAATAAGGGCACTTCATCTCTGCGGGATTCTTCTCAAAAAACCCAGTAACCCCCGTCTAACCATGAGAAAAACATCAGATGAACCCAAAGTGAGGGACATTTGACAAAATACCTGGGTTTCAAAACTTTCAAGGTCTTATAAACAAGGAAAAGACTGAGCCACTATCACAGCCAGAATAGACTAAGGAGACATGAGGATTAAAGGTAGTGTGGGATCCTGGGTTGGATCCTGGAACATAAAAAGGGCATTAGGGGAAAAACTGATGAAATCTGAATATCATCTGGAGCTTATGGTAATGTAACATACAGAATATTTGTATGTATGTAGCATATATATAGCAATGTTAATAGTAATGTACCAGTGTTGGTTTCCAAGTTTTAACAAATGTACCATGATAATATAAGATATTACCCATTAGGGAAAACTGAGTGAACAGTATATAGGAACTCTCTGCAAATCTGTAATGCTAAAATTCTAGAATTCTAAAATTATTCCAAGATAAAAACTTTATTGGAAAAAGACTTTTGTATTAAACAACAAAAAAACATCTCCAGGAATAGGCTCTTAGTACCTATAACTACAAGTTCTACAAGTGACCTGATGCATACTAATTAACTCCAGAGTTCTGGTGACTAGTGTAATGAAATTGTAAAATTTGTGAGACAACAAGACTCCCTATGTAGGCTGAGACCTATAAAAGGCCTTAAGTATCTTTTATATTAGTTCTACAGGAATCCCTAAAAACCTCAATGAAAATTGTAAATTATGGCTACCATCAATTTCTTACCTGTTGGAGAAGTGACGCATGGATATTGACAAGAGCAAAAAGAATGTTACTGAAGAATCAGCACCTACTGCAATGATTTGAAGCTTCTGAAAAGTGCTTTGATTTAGATGATCTCTCCTACACGATGTACTTTCAGTGACTGTGTTTTAATCATCAGTTCAACTTTATGGTTATATACGTATTCAAGTATGTTTGAGAAGGAAGGCAACTTAATTGTTTAACTAGATACTCCAAATGTGTTTTATTGCCATTATTTATAAATGTAAAAACTTTCTTATATTTGTGAAAATCATTACATATATAAAGAATTCAAGGACAATAATAAATTTTTAAAGTTCTGCTTCCTTCTTAAATTTACTCTTCTGTGCATTCTTTTAGAACTTTACTTGAAGAAACTAGTATCACCTGGTTCTGGTCTGCACTGAATTAAGCTATCTAGATTTTACTGGATTGGATGTGGCCCAGCTGAGAATCTGGTGATTCTGAACTAGTTTGAAAAGAGAGATTTAATATAAAAAGATCAACACATTTCTTATACCCACTGAACACTGACCACAGAGTTCTGGGAAACTGCAAAAACAGCACTGGGGAAGCTTAATGGAATATGTGAATACTTGGGGTCCCTACTCCCTCAGCTTAGGAATTAGGAAATCTATAAACTAGGGCCCAGGAACTGCATTCTAAATAGGCCCTGCAGTGATTCGGATGCAAGTCTTTCAAGGGTTACATCTGGAGCACTGGCATAGAGTCAAGAGCACTGGCTTAAAAGTCAGAAGGACCTGGGTTCAAATGCTGACTCTGCTGATTTCTATCTATGTGGTTGGTACTCAAACCGCTCATTCAGTCACTGAAAAATTACTGCGTGCCTACTATGTGCTACGCACTTTACTTCCCTAAGCCTCTTATTTCCTTATCTATGAAACCGGAGGTCTGTAAGAAGTAAATGAAATAATGTATGTAAATCAATTGGAAGGGGTTATTGCATAAAAAATAAAAAAATAATAATATACATAAAACGCTCAGCACAGTACATGGATGGGACACAGTAAGCACTCAGTAAGTGTTAGTTGCTATTACATTATCATTTTTTTTTTTTTTTTTTTGAGACAGAGTCTCGCTTTGTTGCCCAGGCTAGAGTGAGTGCCATGGCGTCAGCCTAGCTCACAGCAACCTCAAACTCCTGGGCTCGAGTGATCCTTCTGCCTCAGCCTCCCGGGTAGCTGGGACTACAGGCATGCGCCACCATGCCCGGCTAATTTTTTTATATATATATCAGTTGGCCAATTAATTTCTTTCTATTTATAGTAGAGACGGGGTCTCGCTCTTGCTCAGGCTGGTTTTGAACTCCTGACCTTGAGCAATCCGCCCGCCTCGGCCTCCCAAGAGCTAGGATTACAGGCGTGAGCCACAGCGCCCGGCCTACATTATCATTTTTAATAAGTTTCACTGGCCAATCAATGGTGATCAAGATAAATAACATAAAACAGCTTCCACTAGAGAAATGACAAAAGGTCACACTTCATCCTCAGACACAAAAGCTTTACTCCAGGAGCAGAGTCTCATATCCCTTACTATTAGGTGACAAAGAATATGGCTCTATGGTACTGTTTGGATAGTATGAATCACAAAATGACTCACAATTTATATTTCATAAAGTCATCATTAAGCTGATTTTCAAGTTGAGGGTGCAGCTATAGGTAGCAAAACGTGTTTAGAAAACAATTTCACAGTATTAGCTCCCTCTCTCTTTTCCAAAGTCAAAACTAAATTATGGGATGAGGAGTTACCTGGCCCTTTACAAAGCAAAGAGAAAAATAATATTGCATTAGTTGTTAACTAATGTGAGGGAGGTGTGCAGGTATCACTAGCAATGATTCAAGGCAATGTCATCAAATGATCAAAACTGTTTGAAACTATATAACAAACAAGGAAAAAAACTAAAATTAAGCAAACAAACCCCCAAAATGATTCATAAGCTACTATGTATTAGATTATATATCCTAATGCAGATTACATCATCCCTAATGTGCAATTATATGACAATACACACCTGTTTTTCAGAGATGATTCAGAAATACTCTCTGACTTCATAAAATGTCTTTTGGTTAAATACTGGGCAGAGAAGAAGGCACATGGCATCTGGATGTGGGTTTGAGTTCAGGTACCAGCAATGACCAGCATTGTGACCTTGGCCAAGAACCCTAACAGATTTGGTCATCTGGTCTTCAGTATCTTCACCTTACATCGGGAATAATAATATAATACCACCACCTAACCAGCAGGTTATATCAAATGAGTTAATGTACATGGAAGTGATTAATAAACTAGACAAGGCAAAACAAATTATATCACAGCAATTGATAACCACCTAGCAAGGATCTGATACTAGTAAACTACTTGAATCTTACTCAAAGTTACAAATGGGACATACATATATATATATATCAAATGCATGCATTATTTAGGGATTAATATTCTGAGATGGAAAGCAGTTATTTTAATAAGTTATTAAATCATCTTTGGGCAAGGTAGGATACAAAAAGTAATTTAAAAATCAACTGAAAAAATGAAAAGAGTGCTTATAAAGTTTTTCTTACTGCTTAAAGGTAGATCAGAATATATGTAAATAGACACAAAAAATATGGTAATAGAAGTTTAAAAAAATCCCCAGATTTCAAATAATTCACTCATGTATGTTTCAATGTCACTAAGTATTTCACTTTTGTAGATACTTACCTGTAAAAATAAGTAACTGGGCAGTACATTGTCAAATGATGGGCTGAGATATACTGGCTCTGTCATTCTTATGCCTATACCTCTGAAAAATTGGAAATCTTACATTAGTTTGTGTAAATTACATAATCTATACAAACCATTATATGTTTCTGTGAACACACTCAAGTAGCAAGTCAAATATAAGACGCTATCTTTTTAAAACCTCTTTTATTTAACACCAAAATATTTAGTCCTATGAATTGTTTTTTGAATTTTTACTTGCAGTTAAGTAGATTATCAAAACTAAAAAGGATAAAGTTACACAAATTTTTCACTTAAGCACAAATGAGTTTCTTTTTCTTTGTTTCGTTTTTTCCTTGAGGGTCTGTCACTCTGTCACCCTGCATAGAGTGCAGTGGCATCATCATAGCTCAACCTCACACTCCTGGGCTCAAAGGATCCTCCTGCCTCAGCTTCCCAAGGAGCTGGGACTACAAGCTATTTTTAGTAGAGATGGGGTCTTGCTCTTATTCAGGCTAGTCTGAAACTCCTGAGCTCAAGCAATCCTCCCCATTTTGGCATCCCAGACAAATGAGTTTCTTTAGAGATTTGGGTAAATTAAAAAGCAAACAACACCCAATTCTTCATTCATTCTAATATTTCTAGTAACAGATTTATGATCAATGTTATTAGCCCTTCCATTAAGCAAACATTTTGTGAATGATTCACCTTGAAGGCACGTTGCTAGGTACTTTTATGAAAAATAAAAGAATATTTAGAATCATGCGGATGCTGAGCAGTAACAAACACACTATACAGCTTTCCTCTCATCTCTTTATAGAATAATTGTCCAGTACTGACACACCTCAAGGATGACCTTTTCCATCTCTGCCCCATTTTATGTGTGGCAGTGGAGCTGATCAAAAGCAGGAAGGCATAGCAGGCAGTGATTCATAAAGACAAACATTGCAATCTGAGAGGTTGTCAGAGACAATCAAAGGGGAGCTCACAGACACTCAGAGAAAGCTAAACACGGCCTGGTGTATCATGCCAAACCAGAGGGAGCAAGAAAAAGTAGAAATCAAAGCCAGTGTTCTAGGGATTAGAAAGGCACAGAAAAACTAGTCTAATCATAAAGGCAAGGATAAAAATCAGGATCTAAATGAAGTATAAGGGTGCAAGCAAAGAAGAGAGTCCAAGTAGGGAGAACAAAGATAAGTTCTCAGGAATAGTATGGTAGACAATTCACATAGGTTATGAACTAGCTTATGAATTGATCTTGGAAGAGAAGCATCTACATGGACAGTCTGTACCTGCTTGAATTTGCTAGGGTAAGTTTATGCTGGCCTTTAGAGCGAAGTAACTTCTGTAGGTATCTGTGACTGTCACTGCACTGGCCTGACTATGAACTCCCCTTAAACAGCCTTCAGCATGCACTAAATGGTGACTCTTTTCTTCCTCTTCCCATCCCCCCTTTAACTGCCTCACTCATTTGTTTACCACCTGAAACCACTGAATCTGCACTTTTAGTAAAACTCAGTCCCTGCTTCAGTCTGGATCAAATCGAACCACTATATATTTACTTCCTTTGTTGAAAGACTTGGTGCTCTTACCTTGATCAATACCTGACCTCCCACCCAGAGTCTAGACCCATTATTATTTTTCTTTTCTTTCAGCACCCAGTGACTGGATACACCCATTATTGAACATCTTAAATTCTATGACCTGGTCACTCCTTCATAATTTAAACGACTTTCTGACTTGCAGGATTCCAGTCCTCTGAAAAATACTGAAACTTTAAAATTTACATGCCTGCCTTCCTAACCAGGTTGCTACCTGGTGCTTTAAGTTCTGGTCCCCTCTGACAATCCCCTTCTGGTCATTCCTACCAGCACAACCAAGCCCCTCTACATAGTATTTAACTTAAAATAACATGACAAAGAATACTTTAAGCCAATTATTGTTCAGGTATGACATTACACACGTCTTTTAAAAATATTTTTGTAGCCATGTATCTCCATATAATAATGCAAAGTACAAAATCACGTATGATAAAACAGTCTGTAAATTAATGTACCTCCATGAGTCTATGAATGATTCAACCCACCTGGAATTCAAATCAAAGGATCCAAACTGACTGACTAAAAACAAATGGACCACTAACAGAGCTGGTTCTAAACTTTTTAAAGAACATAAATGAGGACCAGGTGTGGTGACTCACACCTATAATCATAGCACTCTGGGAGGCCGAGGCAGAAGGATTGCTTGAGCTCAGGAGTTTGAGACCAGCCTAAGCAAGAGAAAGACCCTATTTCTACTAAAAATAGAAAAATTAGCTGGGCATTGTGGTGTACTCCTGTAGTTAAAGCTATTCAGGAGGCTGAGGCAAGAGGATCCCTTGGGCTGAAGAGTTTGAGGTTGCAGTTAGCTATGATGTTGTCATTGCACCATACCCAAGGTGACAGAATGAGACTCTGTCTTGAAAAGAAAGAAGAGAAGAGAGAATGTAAATGAGGAAAAGGGGGCCTAGAGCAATGGCTCAAACTTGTAATTGTAGCACTTTGGGAGACTGAGGTGGGAAGATTGCTTGAGCCCAGGAGTATGAGATCAGCCTGGGCAACATAATGGGACCCCATTTCTATAAAAAACAAAAATTAGCCAGCCATGGTGAGGCACATCTGTACACAGCTACTCTGGAGGCTGAGGCAGGAGATTGCTTGAGGCTAGGAGTTTGAGATTACAGTGAGCTATGATCATGCAACTGCACTCAAGCCCAGGCAACAAAATGAGACCTTGTCTCCAAAGAAAAAAAAGAAAAAAAAGAAAAAAGGTGTATTTTGAAAGATCTTTGTCTCCTAACTCCTACCAACTAAAAATTATTCAGAACATTGTCCAGAAAACATTATTTGGCCCAATAACTGCAACCACCAGATCAAATGAAAATAAAGAGTATCCTGTTAATACTGAACTAAAAGAGGCAGTCAAAATATCAATTTCCTATTATAGATCCAAAGAGAAACACAGCAGATATATGCATAATTTTTTCATAAAGCCTTCTGAGGAGGATAAAACCTTGTTCTTGGCCATTTGGAAAGTACTGCATCTAGATTTAGGGAATCCAATCATCAGTTTTTTCAGAAGAATGAATTACAACTATAAACCCAAATTGCTGCAACATAAAAAACTGTTCCAAGAACCAATGATATAGTCCAATTCTAGATGGATAAATTCACAGCTTTCAGGATGCCTACGTCATCTGTCAACTTTGCAGTAATGGAGCTGTTCACAGAACCACTAAAACAGGCTGAAAAAACTAAGTAAAATAAGAGCCTGGCTTTTCCACCAACTTAAATTTATTTAGAGCAACAAGAAATGATTTGGAGCTTTTAATTTATACTAAATTATAAATTTATATTAAATCATTTTTAATTTATATTAAAATCATTAACTTTTAACAAAATCAGAATGTTAAAAAAGTTTTGTGTAGGTCATCTAATTCATTCTCTATGGAGATAAGCACTTTTCTTCAAAAATGCAAAAAATTTCAAATAAATATTTAAAATGCAAAAGGACAATTATTTGACAATTACAGTGTGACTGGCTATTTGCTTGGGCTCTTTAATCTGACCATTTACCCTTTTTGACCTAAATGAACTTTTTCAAAAAATCATAGAAATATGAGTTGAATAAAATTTTTTTCCAGTTGAACTTATACCAAAAAAACAAACAAACAAACAAAAACCTCAAAATGCAACTGAATGCATTTTTACATTGTTTTTAATTTTCTTTGAACCACAAAGAGGATGCTTATTTTCCACATAACACTTGATGACTTACTTCAGTTCAGGTAACCCACTGAAGATTTCTTTGCGGCTTAGTTCAGAAATTCCATTTCCAAGAAATACTTTTGTTCCATCAAATTCTTTGGCCCCTTTCTTACATTTTCCTTTAATATCAGAGTAGACAGAAATAACATCGCCAGATTTCATAACTATAGAAAGAAAAGAATCAGATCACACTGATCTATATACTTTGGCAGAAGAATAGTAAAAATTCTTTAAGCTAGACTAGGGATCTCTAGAAGCATCAATAGTGGGCATGAAGCAGTTCAAACTGGTTCATTAACTCAATATAATCCTTAGTAGAAATCTGACTTTTTACTTTTAAATATTACCTACCAATAAATCTAATTGAAGAATTTTTTTTTCAGTGAAAACAAAGAGAATATTCTTCAAAATATTCTACCTCAATTGGAAACCTTTAGCTGAGCAGAGATGGAAGGGTATCTTCTATATAAATTATTTTCCCCAAGCCTAATATTCCTTAAAAGACTTCATATAAGTCTTCATATCTCAGCTCAATCCCTAAATTTTTAAATTTCCTTCAAAAGGATTCTTCAGAAATGTACCCTAAATAAAATCTCTTAAATCTTGGTATTGGTATTTCTTTGCCATTTTGCTGTATAGCATAATTAAGACATATACTTTAGTGATAAACACATATATTCATTCATATATATGCATACATATACAGGTATATGTATGTACAGACTTAGAAAACCTTTATACTATACAGTATATGGAAGCTGATTTATATGGCTGACTAAATCTAGTTTTTGGGCCGGATGTGTGGCTCACGCCTGTGATCCCAGCACTCTGGGAGGTGAGAGGATTGCTTGAGGTCATGAGTTCCAGACCAGCCTGAGCAACAGCAAGACCCTGTCTCTACCAAAAATAGAAAAAATTATCCAGGCACGGTGGCACACGCCTGTAGTCCCCGCTCCTCGGGAGGCTGAGGCAGGAGGATCGCTTGAGCCCAGGAGTTTGAGGTTGCTGTGAGCTAGGGTGACACCACAGCACTCTAGCCTGGGCAACAGAGTGAGACTCTGTCTCAAGAAAAAAAAAAAAAAAAAATCTAGTTTTTTAGGCATTGGATTAAATTATTTTCTGTAACAAATCCCAGTGGTATTAATAGCACATTATATTCCACTTAAGGAAAAAATATTTTAAAACCTAACCTATTATAAATTTGGCCTATTACCTGACAACAGTAGCAAACAAAATAAAACTGGCAGGAAACTTTATGTGGATGCCTGATTTGTTAGTCCTTATCAGATAAAGGCCTAAATGCAAAGCTGGGAAAACATCTGACAAAAGTAAGTTTGAAATACATCTTAACAATAATTTAAAAAATTTTCCATTTGATAATATACATAAATTTTAGAGAATCTTTAAAGAGAAACCTAAATATTATACTTACATTTGGAAGCTGACATAATTCCTGGAACATAAACATGGGCTCCTCTTAATACTGCATTGCCACACTGGGCTCCAACAATAACTTCGCACTGTTGTTTTGTTATATTCTTCCTAGGGATGTAAGACAAGAGATACTTAACAATAATATACCTCTAATGCCAGTCAACTCTTTCAGTGTTTCAATCTAAACTCTAAATAACCTCTTTAATCTTGACTATTCTGAATAAATGAGAAAGAGAAAGCTGAAAAAAGAGGGATAAATATAAAGAAAATAGTTTAAGAAAAAAAAAAGACGGGTACTTGAAAAAAGGAAAAAAATTGAAAGAGGTCCATCTGGTGGAAGGCAATAAAGTGGCACTAGAATCTGCTTAATCATTTAACAAGCATTACCGTTTCCATTATAGCATTAGAAAAAAATAGATTTCCCTGTCCTTAAAGACTAGAATAGAAAAATACACAAAGAATTACAAAAACATTTCTAAAGCAGGAAATTGTTGCATGGTAAACTATGAATATTTAAAACTAAATATATGCAAATGAAGATAAATCTTTTTTTCTTCCTTTGCTGCCCCACCTTTTTGAGCCTCTTCCAACTTCTTTCATCTCATTCATTTCTAAGACCACGAAAACCTGGGTATCAACTTCTAACACTCAAGGAAGACTTTGCCAAAGACCAAGGGTGCCAATATTATCAGCCATGAACGAAAATCCTGAGCACTGAGTCTCTAATGATCTTCCCTGGTTGGCATTTCATGTTTTGTCACAACTCATTGCTGGGAGAATGAAATATGTCTCATCTTCTTTCTATGATCTTGAAATAATCAAATCTCACTAAATTCTCAGTTCCCTCCTGGTCCCAAACATTCTCATTGCTCATTCTCTATTTCTTCAAGAGGCTCATTCCCTCAAGTTCCAAAACATGCCACCGTCTCTACTCACTTTGCATTCTATTCCTTGGCAATTTCAGGACTTCAATAATCACTTACGAATTCTCATGTTCAGCCTTTCTAGACTCTGAATTGACATTTCTAATTACCTGCAGAGAGCTATATATATAGATGTTTTAGTTATTTCAAACTCAGTAAGGCATAAATAATGGGCTGGACACAGTGGCTCATCCCTGTAATCCTAGCACTCTGGGAGACTCAGGTGGGAGGATCGCTTGAGGTCAGGAGTTCGAGACCAGCCTGAGCAAGAGCAAGACCCTAACTCTACTAAAAATAGAAAAATTAGCTGGGCATGGTGGTGTGTGCCTGTAATCCCAGCTAATTCTCCTGCCTCAGCCCAGGACTTTGCTTGAGCCCAGGACTTTGAGTTGCTGTGAGCTAGGTTGATGCCACAGGTGACAGAACGAGACTCTGTCAAAAAAAAAAAAAAAAAAATACATAAACAATGTTATTTTCCTCTCATCCACTCCTCAAGTCCTTGACACAATCTCTAGTTTTTTCAACCTAAGGCTTCCAATCTTGAAGAAGGTGTCATCTGCCCAGATAAATGAAACTGGAAGCCTCAGGGCTATGGCTAAACGTGTCCCCCAAAATTAATAGGTTGGAAACTTAATTCTCAACGTAACAGTACTGGGAGGTGGGGCCTTATGGGAGGTGTTTAGGTCAAAAGGCTTGGCCCTCATGAATGGATTAATGCCACTATGAAAAGGGCTTGCAGGAGAGGGTTTCCTTTCTCTCACCCTCCTCCCCTCAGCCATGTGAGGATGCACCAAGAGAACCCTGACCAGATGCTGATGGATGTCTCAATCTTGGACTTTCCATCCTCCAACACTGTAAGAAATACATTTCTGTTCTTTATAAATCACTCAGTCTCAGAAGACTAAGATGCTCAGCATCATCTTAAACCTAAGCATTGCCATTCACTGAGGTACCGTGATCATGCTGTTTCTGCTCTGACACGCCTTGTGGGCCCATCCCGACCTCAGATATATCCTCTCTTCACTCGGTTACTGAAATAGCTTCCTGCCTTCTACCTTTGGTTGCTTTCAGATCTTTACATATTTAGTGTTTTGCAGTTTCATTCAAGTATCTACACGTGAATTTATTTTCACTTTTGGCTACAGACATACTTCAATCTTTTCTCAGTTCTGGAAAATTCTTACCCATTACATTTTTGACTATTGCCTTTCTACCATTATTTCTATTCTCCATATCTGAGACTCCTTAGAAATATAAAGTGCCTTTCCATTTTATTTTCCATAATTTAATTTCACTTCCATATTTTTACTTTCTCTCTGCTGCATTCTAGATAATTTCCTAAGCATCATCTCCTAGCTCAACAGATCTCTCATCAGTGGGGTCTAATCTACAGTTTAACCTCATTGGATGAGCTTTTAATATTAATGACTTTTTATTTATAGAAATAAAATTCTACCTTTTATTTTCCCTTAGGGTCTTTCATGTTTTAGATTTATTCTTTTGTTTTTAATCATTTTAAGAAGACTGATTTTATAGTTTCTGCTAGAAAGCTCTATTTGTTAAAGTTTTGGGAGAAATCTAATCCTGCAGTTTATTATATATACTGATTCTCACTCACAGTGGTTTACTAGTGCAGCTTTTAATGAGAAAAGCCTGTGTCTTGGATCGAATGTGTGACACTCTGAAGTAGACTTGTTTGGTTTTTGCCAAACATCTCTGGAATTGGCTAAGGACCAAATTGTTATGTTATTTTCCCAGTTTGCAGGTTCTAAGACAACTTGGGTTATATGGATTTAGATTCCAAACCTTTATGAGATATGGAACTATAGTTGTATATTCTCAGAATTTTTTTCCTCGAGCTTAGACCCTAAGGCAAGACACAACCACTTCCTAACTGTACTTGTACTGACTGCTGGATACAGGCTTGAGACTGCTGTTCTTAGAAAGGCCTGCTTGAGAGGTTGGGTCATGGCTGGCGTCTGAAAACTTGAATGGGAAGCAGTTCCCAATAGTGATATAAAACTTCTCTAACGATAAGAGTGGCTCACTGTTCCTAAATTGTTTATTCAAGGAATGTGGTTTATTCTGAACACCTGCTTTCCTTTTGGGAGTCCAGAATTTTGGTACATTCTAGGCAGATCGTGCCTATGCAATCAGCCCAATAAAAACTTAAGCAATGAGTCTCTAATGAGCTTTCTTGATAGACAATCTGTCACAGTTAGTGGCTAGAGAAATTAGGCACGTCCTGTGTGACCCCACTGAGGACTCTTAGAAGCTTGCACCTGGTTTCCTCCAGACTTAGCCCCATATATCTTTTCCTTGTGCTGATTTTTCCTTTGTATGCTTTCAGGTAATAATCTTAGTCATGAATATAACTATATGTTAAGTCCTGTCTAGTTAGTCACTAAACCCAAGGGCTGTCTTGGGAACCCTTGACAGAGAAAAATATGTGCCACAGAAATGCAACATACCATGTACTACTGTCCTCACAGATTAATGGAATAGAATAGAGAACCCAGAAATAAAGCCATATACCTACAATCAATCTTTGACAAAGTATACAAAACATATACTGGGGAAAGGACACATCATTCAATAAATGGTGCTAAGAAAATAGAACAGCCAAAGGCAGAAGAATGAAGCTGGATCCCTCTCACAATATACAAAAATTAACTCAAGCTGGGCACAGTAGCTCACCCCTGTAATCCCAGCACTTTGGGAGTCTGAGGTGGGGAGGATCTCTTGAGGCCAGGAGTTCAAGACCAGCCTGGGCAACACTACAAGATTCAGTCTCTACAAAAAATTCAAAAACTTAAAAAAATAAAAATTAGCCAAGCATGATGGTGCATGCTATTGGGGAGGTTGAGGCAGGAAAATTGCTTGAGCCCAGAAGTTTGAAGTTGCAGTGAGCTTTTATGATAACACTCTACTCTAGCCCAGGCAAAAGAGTGAAACCCTGTGGGAAAGGAAAGGGAAAAGGAAAGGGAAATGGAAAGGAGAAAGGAAGGGGAGAAAGGAAGGAAAGAAGGGAAAGGAAGGGGAAAGGGAAGGATGGGAAGGGAAGAGATGGGGAGAGGAAAGGTGGGAAGGGAAGATGGGGAGGAAAGGATGGGGAGGAAGGAGGGAAAGAAGGGGAAAGAGGGGGAGAGGAAAGGAAGGGGGGAAAGGAAGGGGGGAAAGGAAGGGGGGAAAGGAAGGGGGGAAAGGAAGGGGGGAAAAGAAAGAAGGAAAGGAGAAAAGAAAAGAGAAGGAAAAGAAAAGGAAAAACACCACTAAAAAGTGAGCAAAAGACATGAAGAGAGTTTGCAAAAATGATATACAGATGGCCAAAAACACATGAAAAAATGCTCAACATCATTAATCATCAGGGAAGTACAAATTAAAACCACAATGAGCTACCACCTTATCCCAGTCAGAATAGCCATTATTAAAAGGCAAAAAAATAATAGATGCTGGTATGAAGTAAAAAAGGAAACACTTATACACTACTGGTGGGAATGTAAATTAGTACAAACTTTATGAAAAACAGTATGGAGATTTCTCAAAGAACTAAAAGTAGATCTACCATTGCAACCAGCAATTATACTACTCGGTATTTATGCAAAGGAAAGGTCATCGTATCAAAAAGACACCTGCACTGTTATGTTTATCACAGCACAATTCACAATTGCAAAGATATGGAATCAACCTAAGTGCCCATCAACCGATGGATGAGTGTATAAAGAAAATGTGGTACATATAAATATACCATGGAGTACTACTGAGCCATGAGAATGAATGAAATAATGTCTTCTGCAGCAATGTGGATGGAACTGGAAGCCATTATCCTAAGTGAAATAACTCAGGAATGGAAAACCAAATACTGCATGTTTTCACTTATAAGTGGGAGCTAAGCTGTGGGTACGCATGGTCATACAGAATGGTATAATGGCTATTGGAGACTCAGAAGGAGTGTGGGAGATGAAAATTACCTATTGGGTACAATGTACACTATTTGGGTGATAGGCATGCTAAATGCCCAGACTCCGCCACTATACAACACAACAGGGGTCCTCAAACTTTTTAAACAGGGGGCCAGTTCACCATCCCTCAGACCTTTGGAGAGTGCACACTGTGGGCCCGGGACGAGTTGGCTGCTAAGCAGGACAGGCAGCAGTGGCAAAAACACCCAGTGGGCCAAATAAATGTCCTAGGCGGGTGGCATGTGGTCCGTGGGCCGTAGTTTGAGGACGCCTGCAATACATCCATGTAATGAAAAACCCCTTGTACCTCCAAAATCCACTGAAATAAAAAGTATTGGTATCCTTATCATAAGGAATACAGAAAATGTAAGAGAAAAATATTCAAAGAAATAATGGGAGATTTCTAACTAAAAAGTTACACTTTCATTAAAAATGAAGCCATACTCTGGCCATTTTTCTCATATTCAGTGACTGAGAATTCCACAGATCTCCAAGTGGAAAGTAAGGTACTATTACAAGGGGGATAAAAATTTTGGTGGGCCTCAGATTTCTTCACTGTAACATTTGATGCCATAAGGTTTAAAAACAATGTCTACAAAGTACTGAGGAAAATATTATGTGGTGTGAAACTACTGTATTCAGCCAAGTTGTTGTATAAATACAAAGGTAACAGGTAGTCATTCTCAAGCAAGAAAGTGAATATAGTACATAAGAGACATACTTTGGGGAAGGGCAGGGAGTGCTGGAGACCTGCTAAATGACTATGCTAACAGAGATTAATCAACATTAATTGAAGAACAAAGAGTGCCATAAGGACTCAAAGCAAGCACTGTATTCATCTGAACTGTACTTAAAGAATGACAATGTGAAAAAACTAACACAGTAAATAAAAATAGCTGGTGGAAGTTTCAGGGAATATTTGAGTGTAAGAACTTCCTCATTTCTCACAATGGAAAGTCAAAGATATTTATTGAGAGTGAGGAGTTTAAAATAAGGAATTGACTTGTTCCTTTTAGAAATGAAAGGCAGATATGTGAATTTACAGTCCTAAGTCATTTTAAATGCTGTCCTGCAATAACTCACCATTTGTGTTTTAGAGATCAATAATGTTCTAAGATGAGTAGCCTAGATCGCTACAAAGAACAAGATGAAAGGATTACTAAAGTCAGGTAAAAGAAGTATAGAAAATAAAGTAAAATCACCTAAGTATTTTAAAAGCTAAAATGGCCAGTATTGTCAAGAATGAATCACCTTTCATACACTGTTGAAACATTAACTGGTATAACTTTGTAAAGGGTACTCCAGTAATATGTCTCAAACTAAAACAAGCATAGACCTTTGAACCAGTAATTCTATGCCATGCCAATTTAGTTCACAGACATGCTTACTCAAGTCCATAAATATATATTTCAACACTTTTGGTAATAATGAAAAATAGGAAAAAACTAAATGTCTATCAACAGAGGACTGAAAAATTAAAATTGAGTTCAATAAAATATATTTAGGCAGCTATTAATAAGAATGAAATAGCACTGTACATAATCATGGAAAGATATCCACAATATATATATTTTTTTTCAATGTTACTGTGTTATAGAACATTGTCTGCATATGGTAGGCACTCAATGAATATTTGGGGGCTTTTTTGTTTTTTTATTTCAAATATTAATTAAAGGGGTAAAGTGTTTTCATTACACGGATACCTTGCATAATGCTTAAGTCGACTCTTTTCGTGTGCACATCACCAGAACCGTGTTCATGCTACCCAATAGGTACGTTTTTATCCCACACATATCCTCCCGCCCTCCCCAATATATTCTTAAATGAACACAAAAGCAAACTGCAGATTAAAATGTTTTCTAATAATTTTCTAAAAATGAGTATGTGACTACACACATGCATTCATGTATGTAGGTGTAAGCGCAGAGACTGTCTAGATGAATTCAAATTAAATGCTCACAGAAACCACTGGGAAGTGGGATGGGCAATATGATGAATGATTACTTTTGTGTTTATGTACAATTCTAATTTTTATAAGTTTGTCTTACTTTTATAAAGAAGAAAAACCTAATTAAACTCTATCCTTTTTTAAAAAACTAAAGAATAAGGAAAGGATATTTAATAGAGTAAGAAATGGCCAAATTTTGAACTTAAGCAACTATAATTTTACATCCTCAAAAGGAGTGTAACTTGAAAAGATCTGTGAGAGTGATCTACTGTAGTAGCTGATTGGTTCAAAACTAAGAGATGTTAGAAATCATTCCTGGTAGGATAGCTGACTGAGTACCAGAGAATTTTCTGGGGTACTGGAAATGGTCTATCTTGACTAGGGTGGGTTTTGGCTACACAGTTGTACATATTTGGCAAAATTCAAAGTGTACATCTGAGATCTCTACATTCCACTGTATGTGAATTTCATCTTAAAAAATAGAATGAGAAGCCTACAAAATGAATTTTTTTTTTTCCATTTAGAGATAGGGTCTCCCTCCATCAGCCAATGGTGCAATCACAGCTCACTGCAGTCTCAAATTCCTGAGCTCAAGTAACCCTCCTGTCTCAGCCTCCCCAGTAGCTAGAACTACAGGTACATGCCAACACACCGGATAGTTTTTAAATAAAGAAAGATGAGGTCTCACTATGTCACCCCTGCTGGTCTCAAACCCTTGGCCTCAAGCAATCCTCCCACCTTGGCCTTCCGAGGTGCTGGGGTTACAAGGTGTGAGCCACTATGCCTGGCTTTTCCTTAATTGCAAGAATACTACATTCTTATGGCAAAAATAAAACAGAAATGTTACAGATAAAAATCTCTTTTTACTTACATCCTCCTTCTCCCAATCCAACCTCCTCAGAATTAAACCCTATTAAGAGTTGGGTATGTTATAGCTTCCAGACTTTTTTCTATATACAAATAAATATACATGAATGCGTAGTTGTATTTTTTAATTGTAAAAAAAGTAATTAACCTAAGTTCAGTACTTTGCTTTGGATACTTAAAAACTGATCATGAATATCTTCTCTTAAAGGCCACACAATATTCTATTGCATAAACCATAATTTATTAACCCATTGCTCTACTGTTAACCACTAAACTACTTTAAAGCTTTAACAACAAAAAAAAGATTTTTATATTTTAACTTTCTTTATATTTTAACTTTTATATTTTAACTAGCTTTAAAAAAAAGCATTTTTATATTTTAACTTAGTAGTTTAAGAAATTTTTATACCATAATTAGGGATTTTAAAATGCTCCTGGGGAAGAGAACTCCCATTATATGAAAGCCTATTTTTTTTTTATTTTTCCTTTCATCTATTTCATTTCTTAACAACCATCTAAAGATTTCTATCCTGCTAGGACCAGTGCCATGACTTTTTTTTTTTTTTTTAAGTTTCATCCTAATTTTTTTATTCACCTTAATTTTTAATAACCATTTAAGAATTTCCACCTTCCTGGGATGTGTCCTTCGACTCTCCCCTGTATCTGTCACCACTCTCTTGTTAACTGCCCTAATGTTTTATAAGCATTTTGTAAGCATAATGTTTTATAAGACTCACGAGGGGACACTGAGACAGCAAATTTGCTGAGGCTTCTTGAACTACTGTTCAATTTTGCAGGAGTAACATCATATGGCGTGCCCATGCAGAAGGGGCACCCCTTACTACAGCATATACCATGATCCAGGTAACTGGCATATTCAGCAGGTGAATGTTTTAGTCATCATAAAGCCAGTCCCACATGGCTTGCACACGAAGCATATCAGCTGCTTCACCTGGAGTGCTTCACTTAGCATTTAGGGAGTTGGGCAGTTCCTGTTCTCAGTAAACAGACCCTACAGTGGCTTTTATCCAGTCCACCAGGCGAGCTATTCCCTGGGGAATAACCTCTTGTATGTCTGGATCACATATATCTATCTGCAATTGGTCAACAGTGAGCTGTGGGTCCCAGATCAACCCTGAGCCTATTTTTCAATTTTTAAACATATGCCTTTCAAATACATAAATGAGTAGCAGATAAATGACATATTGGAACTTTATATAATTGTTGAATTATGAATAAAATTTTACAAACACATCAGCTATGAAGGCAGTAAATACATTGCTTTATATTTTTCTTACAGCTCAAAGTTTTAATGTAGCACTATAATCTCATGAGAGATACAAGTAAACAAATGAAATAAAGCTTCTCAGAAAGTTAAAAAAAATGATCACTGCATTAAATGGACTTAAAGTTCATTATTTTCAAGATACCTAGGCAACTCCCAGTATTCTATTATAGTGTTTTCCATGACAGAGTATAGAGTCTGCATTTATAAATTTCTGAATTCCTGTTTATCTAAAGTTGCTAACAATGTAGAAACTTAGCATTATCACTAAACAGTAAAAAAGATCCTTGTGACAAATTTTCATTTAGAATATAATTTGGAAATGAAATAGTTACAAACCTAGGTCCAATAACAGGAATAAGTAAGACATCCTGAAGGTCTGGATGTTGAAGAATGGGAACACTTAATCCATTAAACTGCTGTTAAAAATAAACAAAGATAATTATAAGTAAACATCTGATAAATTTCAATTTATGGAACTTTTCAGTATCATCTACCACAGCAAGCAGCTCTGGTAGCTTTGGGGCAGCTCCACTGTATTCCATACAATATTATAAAAATCAAAAAGACCTCAAAACAACTATGTTTTCTCTATAATTTAATTCTGAAGTATCCTGACTTCTTTAGAAGACTCAATTTCACTTATTGTTTAGTATTATAAACACAAACTATGTTTACCTTAAGTGACTTACTTTGAAAACATAGCCAATATAGAATTACATGTAGTATTCATTTAAGAAAAGCTTCTCAATAGGACATTAAAGATTTAGATTACTAAATACTATTTATATACACTATGAACACTGGATGCCATGTCAGTTTTGGTGAGGGAAATAAATATTTACAGTAGAGGTTCAGTATCCTCTATTGTACTTGGTTGTCATGCTGAAAACAGGTGCAGGGCCAGTGGTAGAGGGGCTGAAGCCAGCTCACACAGGCTCAGGAGAGCCACTGTATGCATCTCTTCCCAACTCCATGGTCAGGCTGGTAGCTACCACAGTACCACCGAGTGGAAGTATTTACATCATGGAAATCAGCAAACACCACAAATCAGGGTTATTTTTCCCAAAAGTGGGTTGTTAAATATGTCCCAGTGTGCCACTGTTGCAGGCAAAAGACAACTGGGCACTCCATGCAGCAGAATAAAGAGCAGCTGCACAGTAGATTGGATGACAGGGCCTATGTACTGTGTCAGAGGGTAACACGCACATATTTGAGTACAAGTCTGTGCCCAATAGGCTAGAGTCTACCAACTCACTCATTTGTACAAACTACATAAAAAAGCAGTGATAATTCATATTTGCACTACCCTATAATATTCATATACTACCTAAAAAAAATCCTAAAATCTACCTATTTACTTCTAAGTTGATAAGAGTCTAGAAAAAACTTTTAAAATCTATGTATTTACTCCTAAGTTGATAAGGAATGAGAAGGTAATTGTCCACATTTTCAGAAATTTAACTACCTTTCCACCAAGTCACCAGCTCTTTGGACTTCTGCTTCGCCCAAAGGATATTTCAGACTGTAATCACATCCAACAGATAGCTATCAAGCAATATAAAAGGTAAACTCCTCATTCCATCAAACACCTCTCTCTTCTCTATCCCTGTCTCATTGTTTTGATGACCTTACAGTATCAACCATAGGAAATAGATCTTTCCAAAAACAGATAATGAATTGTCAATTTTGTTTTGTGTTATTTTATAAGTGCTATTTGCTTTACATTCCCACTTGCAATGTATGGAGGTTCGTTTCTTCATATTCTCACCAGCCAATGAAACTTTAAATTATTAAGTTTTAATAGGTTGTCCAGAGAAATTTGGGGACAAAGCACTTACTTTTATATGATACTATTCAGTACCTCTCTTTAGGACAAATGTGAGCTTTAGAACATAAAAGGAGAAAGGAAATTCATGGTCCAAAGCCCCCTCTAAGTCCCCTTTCTTGCTAGCATCAGGTATTGATCTACCATCAGTTTCGTATATAGTGACCCAAGCTTCCCTGTCCAATATTAACCTTTAATCACTATGGGACTCAAATCCCATAGTGATGCTGTTTGCCCTTTCCTAAATCCAGCCCGTAAGATCTTGTATACACATCAGACTAGGATACTAGAATATCCAGGTTCTAGGAGTAATTTGCTAGTAAAGAAAACAATCTGGGCCAGTCATGGCAGCTCACACCTTTAATCCAGCACTTTGGGGGGCCAAGGCTAGAGGATCACTTGAGCCCAGGAATTCAAGGCTACAGTGAATTAATAGGATTGTGCCCGTGCGCTCCAGCCTGGGTGACATAGCAAGACCCTCTCAAACATAAAAATTTTAAAAAGAAAAACAGTCTAGATCTGCCTAAGTTATGGACACCCTCAATGGGCCTCAGAACAGTTTCTACTAGCTGAAAACATATGCACAGCTATGTAGAAGTAATCATTTTAGTTGCTTAGACCAACTGCTTATATTTTATGCTTAATGTCATTATTCTTAAAAAAGATTATCACCATCCATAAGTAAAAATGAGATTAATTTTTCTTTATAACATGGTCATCTACTCACAACTTGATATTTATAGAACTATTTTTTAAGGAGTGCATGACAAAGAACCCATAAATATAGTCAGAGTAAATAAAAAGTGATAAATCAATGCCAGTGATAATTTTCTGAAATTTTCTAAATATCTAAATACCATCTGTAATATACCAATGGAAGCCCTTTAATCATATTTGCCTCTTGCTTTTAATATACAAAAAAGTGGAAACACTTTTAATATACAAAAAAGTAGGTCTGCTAACATCCACTACAGTTATTTAAGATTTAATAACTACAACATACAATTTAAGAGGAACCCCCTCAGGCATCTGTTTTCCTCCATCTTAATTTCTTTGGAGGCAAATTTCAGTGTACAGTGTATGAAACACAAAATGCAAAGTTTAATTTTTTATTTCAAAATATTAAGGGGTACAAACGTTTTTATTACATGGATAACTCATATAATGCTTAAGCCAGGGCTTTTGGTGTGTCTATTGCCAGAAATGCAAAGCTTTTGAAAGCAAAAAAGACAATATTAAAAAAGATAACTCAAATATTTTTCTGCTTAGAATTCATAAAATGCCACTTTATAATATTGTTTTCACTTATAAGAGGAATATTATGCCAAAACTATTTCATTGGTTGAATAAAAAATGTATGGTGTTTTATTTTTAAAATAGATTCATTATATTCTAATTTCTTGGGTTTATTAAAGATAAGGCACTTCAACATCTATTTTTATTTATTTTTTAAAGCAGCCCCAAAGAATACGGAACATCAATTTTTATGTCAATTAAAAACATAACACTTGGGTGTGGTGGCTCAGGTCTGTAATTCTAGCAACTTGAGAGGCGGAGGTGGAAGGACTGCTTGAGGCCAGGAATTTAAGACCAGCCTGAGCAAGAAGGTGGGAGACACTCATCTCTACAAAAAATAGAAAAATTAGCCCAGTGTGGTGGCATGCGCCTGTAGGGAGGTTGAGGCAGGAGAACTACTTGAGCGCAGGAGTTAAAGGTTGCAGTGAACTATGACAATGCCACCACATTCTAGACCGGGCAACAGAGCAAGACCCTATCTCAAAAAACAAAAAAACAAGAACAAAACAAGCATAACCCCATAGGTATTCAGTATGTACCTCCCTACCTCTAGGCTCATCTCAAGTACAGAAGCACACAATCTGTCCTTCTGATTGTTATATGCTGGTTATTACAAATTTACAGAATTTTAGGGTTAGACTGGACCTCTTCACATATATTTTAATAATGAAGCAACTGAGGCCCGGAGGGGCTTAACGAACTATCCTAGTCACTAAAAGTGAAAAAATTCTGAATTAGAAGTGCTAGGTTCAAGTACTAGCTTTACCACTTACTACAACCTTAAACAATTGAGCATTCATGATCCTCAATTTCTTTATCTGTAAAATTGGAATAGTATTATATAATTCATAGGATTTTAATGGGAAGCAACATGACATATAGTAAAAATATAATCATGTACAAAATGATGTAAGTTTCCACAAACCTTCTGAAGTTCATCAAGTAACAGATTTTTCACATGTTGTACTGAGGTTAAATTTGTATTCACTCTGACAGTTGTGAATGATGGAGGATGTGACAGGTGCTTTAACAGAGTCTCAAACTTCCTTTCTGCTTCTTGTTCACCCAAAGCAGATACAACCTAAAAACAAAAGAACAGATTAATCTTTAAATTTCATTATATGAATTAAAAACATTCAGCAGAATATGCTTCTATAGCTGTTCCATCTAATGTAACATTTTCCAGCAATTGTTCAGTTCCATTTCATTTTGCTGTACTGTTTATGTGTTACTGACACCAAGGGGACAATAATACTTCACATGGTTCTTGGGTTTAATTATGATATAATAAACACCTATATAATGCCTTACTTAAAGGGCTTAGAAAAACAGTCAACTTTAAAGCATTATTAACATTTTGAAAATATTATCAGCTACATTTTTACACATAAACTCAGGATTTCATTCTACTTATTTATAATGCATTAACTCTTACAGCACCCCTGTGGAGCTAGTTATTTGCTAGCATCATATCCTAGAACAAATTGGTTAGTGGCCTTTTAAGATACCAATATTTAAAGAACATTGATATACTCACTGTCATCCAAAGATTCTCCCAGGACATCAGCTTTTTAAATATGGTATTATTAAATGCAACAAATAGTTATTGTCCAGAAAAAATGAGTAGCAAAGATACCTGTCAGTAATGAAGGTACACTCAAACCACCAGGTTCTCTTGGACTTAACTGAAGCTTTTTAAGGCACGTATTTCTCCCTCCCCCCCTTTTTTTTTTGTCATTTTGGACTATATCCTGTTTCACAAAATATTCACAAAGCACTTGTCAGTCTACTAATCCACCAGTCTCAAAATATTCATACTTTCTTGAAATTTAGTTTTATTAGAATATTCCTCTTCATCAATTTTTTGTTTGTTTGTTTACAAAGGGATGGTTTTTGTTTTTGTAAAATTACAGTTGATGGGTTTAAGGCAGAGGTGGTGTCAAAGAAAGATATCTGGATCTTCTGTTATAAAACAATGTTCAACATTTTAAAAACTGCTGGAAAAAATTGCCAAATGTCCCTATTTCTCTTAATATGTTCCTTATATTTTAAGTCCCTTGAAATCAAGAGAATATATTTGCTCTTTCTATACAGTCTAATCTTAACATAATCTTTGGAAATAAAATGTAGAAACCAAATCTAGACGTCACGGTTTCAATAACATTCAAAAATGAGTAATGTTTAATTGGCTTTAATTTGACTAGAAAACCTAGGATTTGCAAAAAACAAAGTTGTTTACACGCAACATGGTAATAGAGCGCAGGCTTTGCAATCAAAGACAATCAACATTCACTGAGGACTTCTGTGGTAGGCACTGCCTAAAGTAAAACAAAATTAACGTTTTTGAGGATTTACATGCCAAAATGATGCCAGTTGCTTTCACTCATGTTTAATACCCTAAGACAACCTTGTAAAGTACCTTAAAGCATTCTCAATTTTCACAGAAGAGGAAATCAAGGTCAAGCAATGGAAAGCAATTTACTAAAAAGCACTGGAATACAAATCAACTGATTGAGATTCAAAATCTGTATCTTTTTTCATTATACCTGAGCTCCTTGCCTTCAGACTTCAGTAGTTGCTTGACAGTTGTGTCAACTTGGGTCAGTTACCTAAGTTCTTGGACCCTCAGTTTTCTAACCTACTAAAATAGGAACATACCTCTACCAGAAAAAAAAAAAAAATCTGTGAAGATTACAATGTAAAGGTTTGCAAATCACCTAGCACAACGGTTTGGATTTAAGAGACCCTCAATAAATTATAGTACCCTTTTCACCTGAGTGCCAGAGCAAGCACTATGAGAATACAGGTGTATTTTTTCTTCTCATTTATCCTTGTAACTTCTCCAGTGCTACCTAGGGACAGGCACATAAGGTCCCCCCCACCACCCGGTGCCTTCTTTCCCCTTCCCAAGTGTTAAAACACTGCCCTTATTCACCTCTTATCTCAGTAAGTAAGCATTAATACCTGTAGAAAAGATTGCTATTTTTACATTCGGATAAATAATAACAGATCATGCTGTAAAGATTTCCCTTTAGACCTTTTTTATTTTTCTAGAGTGTGTACATATTTCAATTTTTGCAAATATCATCTAACATCTTTATCTGACCTACCTCCTCGTTCATAAAGCCCTCTTTAAGATAGTTTTCAACTTCGGGCCTCAAAGATATTTTAGGAAAAATAGACATTTTTCTCGTTTAATATTCCAAGAGAAATGCTGGAAAATGGTGGTTTTTCTCTTTCTCAATTATAGCGAGCAGCGTCCTGACAAAAACAGCCACTGCCAAAGCGCCGGGACCACTAGGTGCCCACGAAAATCGTGCCGATCACGCCGAGTTAAATTTGGATGTGCAGAAAACGTCCACGCTTTCTCGAGCGTAGCCAGATTAGAAGCGTCTTTGGTCCTCTCGGGATGGTCACGGAAATCATTGAGGCAGTGCCCTCGGGTGGCAAACAAAACCCCCACACCAGAAAAAAAAAAAGCAGCTTAGTAGCTGAATCTGGGGTGAACCGGACACAGACCTGGAGACCAGGCTGGAAGTGGCTCTGGCGCTTTCAGTCTTATATCCTAATTTCCAAATCCGCGCCCCCAACTTATGCGTGGAAAGCCTCTTCCGGTTTATCTTATCGTCACTTCCGGCGCCTGCGGTGTTCCCCCGCCCTTTCCGGTCCCCCTATCCACAGCCGCAAATCGCCCCTAGCCACGCCCCCTGGGGTTCGCAACGCAGCGGGCTGCGCTTCCGCCCACCCGGTCTGGCAGGGTCCTAAGTAGGGAGGGGCGGCAGGCAGGGTGAGTAAACAGGCCTGGTTCCCGAGTGGGGAGCTCTGGTTGCCCAGAAATGGTGTTAGTTCGTGGAAGATATCGTTTGCTTGAATAAGGGGAGGGGCCCAATTCCTGTCCTGCTGGGTGACCACCTAGTATAGGAGGTGGCCCAGCTTAAATCCCGTATCTTGAAAATATCTTTCCTACCTCAGTAAGGAAAAACCACATAGATTCTGGGAAAGAAAATAGCTTTAAACTTGCGAGTAAAGTTTAGCAAGATTCTTGGTCAGTCTATATATTTGCAATGGTTAGGAACTTGATCTCTGGATCAGCTTCAAAAACCTTCTATAAATGGGTAATTTACAAGCCACCAGGACTGCCACTAAGCAGCAGAGCCCCTAAAGGACTTTATGTGTTCAAGATGGACACTTTGAGGTATCTGTTGGAATATTCATCAAATGTGAGAAGGCTGGTCATACTGAGCCCTTAAGTAGAGATGTTAATTCTCATTGACTGAATAATGACCACAGGCAAAGATCTAAGAATATTTTGACCCATTAAATGTTTTGAAACTCAGAATATTATGACTCCTCTTTGTACACATCAAACAACTTCATCAGAATCTTACCAACATACTCTTCCCATCGATAGGACCGACATTAAATTTCTTTTGCATTTAATGCATTTAATGTCTTACACTGCAGCCTCCAAAAATTGAGGGTGTTCTCTCAATAGATATTTGCCAAATGACATCATATTGACCTTTTGTACCGTATGGAAGAAGAGAACTTTCTAATGGGAAATCTATCAATCCTATCTAGTCTGGAGACTGATCAACTAGACTAAATCACAGTGGGCATTACCTTAAAGGTTGAGAGCTTAAAAAAAAAATTAAAGAGTACGTTTCATTCCTTGCTGGCAGAACATACTGTTCCTTGAAGTCTTGGTTCAAGCCATGCACGAATTGATCTTAGTTATATCTGAGTAATTAATTGACTTCAATGCCAGCTGAGGCCAGTTCTTCCAAGTATTACCTGAAGTTAGTTTATAATAGTTCATTCTAAGAAATATTATAGTTTTGTTTTTAAATTTCTGAGTTGTTTGACATTTTTTTCCCTTGAAATTTCAGTTTCTTTGCTCTAAGTATATAGCATTTATACCTTTTTTTGCATTTTGTTGAACTGGACAGATTTTACTGGGATTCCATTTTAATTAAAAGCAGTTATTTCCAATTAGCACTTAGGAAAGAAAATAAGATATTATAATGTTCCTACTTATGGCATTTTTTCTTATTTCATGAATTCGAAATTTATTTCCAAGTAGTACCATTCTACAGAACAGTATTACCTGTTTTGGCATATGAAAAGGCCACGCTGCCAGGGTTAAAATACAACCACCTGATTGAAGTCAGTCTTTTCAGTTAAGCTTGCTTTGTCAGCTGGTTTCAGGGACACCCAGTTTCGGCTCATTTTAGGGTGTGAAGCTTTTCAATTCATGAAGAAGGTTAAAAAGAAAAAAAGACGGAACCATGGATGGAAAACGAAATAGAAAATCATGCAGGCAATTGGTTTATTTGCTGACTTCGATCTTGGATCCACGAACATACCTAATACTTGGCAAAAAAAACAGCAGGGGGAAGGGGGTGGTTAACCACATAACTCAACTATGTGGCTACAGGCATTCCGTGGCTCTCTCCCAGCCAATTCTACTCAAAATTAGGAATCACGGCAGAACCCCAAAGCTGCCTTCCCAAGGTAACAGGCTAAGAGTTCAGCTACGAGAAAACACTTGACTTCTGGGCAGCAAACGGCGCTGCTTCATCAGAGAAAATGCTGACTTTTCCAGTTTCAGAGGCTAGCGACACACGTACAACACAGCAGAGACACTCAAAGAAGGGAGCCCGGAAACGCTTCTAAAGGGGAACATCAGACGGAGCGCTCAACGAGGGAAATTCCGCAGTTCCCTATCGTACCTCAATCTCCCAGCCTCAGGCCCGCTCGGGGCCCGCCCGCCGGAAGGGAAACCGAAGGAAACGCCACGTCGAAGGCGTGGGCTGACGAAAGCGCGCCGACGTCACTCGCCGTCCTTCCGGCGATGGGCGGTCCCGGGACCGGCAGGGGAGGCGGAGCGGAGGCGGGGCCTGGGGCTGGTAGAGGCTCTAGTGGGTAGGTGGGTTCAGACAGAGGGGACTACGGGTCGGCGTTGGGCTCAGTGGGCTCGAAACAAAGGACTATCCGGTAGGGACGCGGTGCGGCGCCTTCTGACGGGTAGCTGAGCTTCGGATCTAGGCTTCGCGGCCAACCAGTGCCTTCGCTGCGCGGTCCCAGTCGGCTTTTCCTCGGTTCCCCCGCAGCCAGCGCCGCGGTGGGGGGTCCGGCGCAGCGGCACCTGCTGCTGAGGGACCCCGAGGCCCGCCCAGGTGCTCATGATGGGGCTGATCTTCGCTAAACTGTGGAGCCTTTTCTGTAACCAAGGTAAGAAGGATGGAGCCGCGCAGCGGTTCGCGACGGGTCCGGCCGCCCGAGGCAGGGGACAGCCGGAGACTGGGCTCTCCGGGGACAGAAGCGTTCTGAGACGCAGAGAAGTGACTTAGTCGAAGGGGAGAGCAGAAACTCGACATTTTAGACTGGGAGAATATGCAGGAGAGACGTGATGTGTCGGAGAAAGGGGCAGTCAGAAGAGAAAGCATTTGGTGTCCCAGAATCCAAATTGAGAATTTTTGGATTTTAGCGAAGTAAAGTGGAACACACATAAAGACGCTCGGGGGCATTTGGAGGGCCTTCTTGGTCTCTGATTTGGTGCACTTGTGTCTGTGTCTAGCCCCAGGGTAAGTGTCAGCCCAGAAATCTAAAACTTTTTTTTTTTTAAACGTGTTGCTTTGTTTTCCGCCCTGCCTTCTGAGCCAGTCACGCTCCGATTTCACCTGATCTCTAGGACTTAGAAATGTGTTATTCTATTCAGATACATGGGGTTTTCTGAAATCTTCATCCTATGCATTTTTTTCCCTTAGACGTTAAAAAACCTGAATGCTTTCGGTTCTGTGTAAGATGTTACGTGTCCGTAATTAGTCTAGAACAGGTTATGAGACATCTAGAAGTCGCAAGTCCAAAGGGCCAAGAAGTTGTAAAACCTGTTCTGAGAATGGGATGGGATGTCTTTTGGAGAAAATATTTAGACAAAAAAGGGGCTGACGATAAGTTAAGTTGTAGGCTTTCTATTTACAGAATGGATTCTCAGTAATTGAAACCAGTTTTTAAGTGCAACTAGTTTCATTTTACATTTATGAATTTTATTTTTATAAAGATACCGATTTGTTATTGCTAAAGTGGGTATCCTTTTTCTGGATTTAAGAAGTCGTGAAGACCATGAAATGGTGTTAGTTCACTTGTTCTGTGGATTGATAAGAACTTTAAAATAATCTTTTTGAAGGTTATAAGTAAAGATACATATGTGTGTGTCTATCTGCAGTTACCACAGATAAATATTATTTGTCAAATGATTTCAAAGTAGCCAGAGTTTAACTCTCTGTGGATATTATCTGTAAATTTAATTTTATTTTTTCAGCGTGTTTATATATTCTAATCCTTGTTACTTATATTCACTACATAAAGCAGCATTTTAAGACGCTTAAAAGTACATAAAGAGTGATACAATAATCACCTGTTTATCTTTCCCTATCGCTTAAGAAATAACATTAGCAAATTAGTTGGTTTTGCATGTATACCCTTTCCCATTCCTGTTTCTCGATTTTTTCTGTTTTAATACTACTTCTCTTTTTTTTTTTTTTTTTGTTTGTTTGAGGCTTCCTTAAGCAGACTAGAAGGGAATAAAAGATGTAAAGGGAAAATTGAGAAGATGATGAAAGACAATCAGTGGTTACTTTTGTAGTCACATTGTTCAGTCCTCCTAAATCTCCATTTCTACTTAGATTTTTTTCTTTAACTTTTCTCTTGAAAATTTAGAACTAGTGGTTATTCTGTCATTTTCTTCGCATTTACTCTTGTGGCCATAGGTCCATCTTCAGAGTTAAGACCATACTTATTCTCAGAGTACTCAAAGATTAAATGAGACAGACATGGAAAAAATGCAGTATGGCAAATTATTACATTTAACAGATATGTGTAAAAAGGTAGTGAGGGCATCAAGAAAAAAGTGATTAATTTTTCTCAGGTACTTTGCAGTATAAGGGAGACTTTGCAGAATAAGGTATACTTGGACTTTGATGATGAGTAGGAGTTTAGGACGCATGCTAGACAAAGAAGGAGCATTTTATTCTAGGACAAAGGAATAATATGCAAAAGGAAGAGGAATCAAATAGTTTGGTACATTTAGGGGTAGATTGAAGAGGTAGCCTGGAGAACCAGATCACAGAGGGCTTTAGATGTTAACTAAGATATTAAACTGTTGAGAGCAAGCAGTGAGCCATTGAAGAGTTTGATCATACATGTTTTTTAAAGCAGGAGAATAATGTGATCAGATCTATATCTTAGTCTGTATTTTTGTTTTCTGCATCAATTAAATTAATTGTCAATGTCAGCATTTTCCATTTTTGTCACTATGTATATCCATCTAATCCAGAGGTATTAGATGTATTAAAATAGTATGCCCAAGGCCTCGCCTCAGATCACTTAAATCAGAACAGTATAGGATGGCCTGAGCATCAGTACCAAGGTAACTGGAATGTGCAGCTAGTGTTAAGAACTACTAATCTTACCTTCTGTACGCCTTTCCTTTAGTCCAATAGTTTCTCACTCTCATCTTTTTTTTCCTGTAGCATTTTACAGCCCCAAATATCTTGTCACAAATTAGATGCTTTCTGAGAATAAGAATACTAAAGTATGTATTGTCTAAGTTAAGCAACTTAAAAGTACATAATAAATGCCAGTAATTTTATATTGTTTCATTTTAAGCTAGAAAACGGATTACTTTGACAGTTATCATTGAAGGAAATAATTTCAACATCTGATCACCTTTGCAAGCATTTTGTATATCCAAGTGGTTCTTTATGTGTGTTTCTTAATATCTTTGTGTGTGTGTGTGTATGTGTGTGTGTGTGTGTGTATATATGTATGGTATCTTTAAACTCACCTCTAAAACTTTGCATTCCTTTTTTTTTTGTTTTGTTTTGTTTTTTAATCTTGTCTTTCATAGGCATGGTCTTTTTCTCTCTGTGCTGTCACTATACAAACCTGTCAACAGTTATTTCTAATGTTATCCAGAATTGAGAACAAATGAAATAAGGTTTTAATTGTAGTTCATTTTCACAACCAAGTAACAACATCTTAATTTCATTATCTCATTATTTCTCATCTGTGAGTTTCATGTTATTTGCAGCACTGATAGCCAACTTTTTATGAGATTGTTACTGTTCTGTACTTCTGACTGCACAAATCTTGTGGCTCACATTTCTCCCTTAGCTTATTCTGCTCTTAATTCTGAACTTTCTGATCGTTTCAAACACACCAAACTTATTATTCGCTCCTTATCTTCCAAAGCATTCTTTATCCATGGTTCAATTAATTCATTCATTCAGATTTCTGATCAAATGTCACTCCACAGACATGCCTTCCCTGACCACTTCATCAAAAATGGCACTCTCCCCACCCCAACACTCATTCTGTCTTTACCATACTGTTTTTTCTCACTAATGCTTATCACTACCTGTAATCGTGTTATACATTTGTTTACTTGATTGTTCTCTCTTTCAGTGGAAATAACTCCTCAAGGCATGAACTTTGTCTTATTCATTACTATACCCACAGTGCTTGGCACATAATAGGTTCTAATTTTTGTCCGTTTTTTTCCAAAAGTAACACATACATTGCGTTTTAAAGTTAGTGTTAAAGTCTTGCACTGGTATGTATCAGTCATATCTCATCAAACCCTTAACTTTTTTCCAGTATATACTTCCATATATCTGAATAATATGCCTATATGGAAATTTTCATTTGTCTTATTGTGGGAGAAAAGAAATTAGTACTTTTGTTTCTCTTCCTCATCATCCTAGTATAGTTTTTTGGTTTGTTACACACTACATCTTTTCATTATGACTAAAGTTTTATTGCTGAGCCATGGTGTGCTGTAATTATGTTTCCTTTTTTTCCTACAACTTTTCCCCCTAGAGTCCTATCTTCTCATTGCCTTAGTTTTCTTTGCACAGTTGGTTAAGTTGTTTCATGGTATCCCAAAACTTCTCTGTAACCATTTTTCCCACCTCACACCAATCATCTTGATGATTTATCTTTCTCCCCTACCCCTACAGCCCTCCATCTTGCTTCAGACTAGACTGATTTCCCTCTGTGCCTGATTATACAGCTGTTCTGGACTTGTCTTTGCTATCATTCTAGAAATTTCCTATGCATTTCTATTTTATCAAACCTATGTCTTCTTTCTTGCTTTACTCTTACTTTGATGAAACACACTCTCTAGAAATTTCCTGCAAATCTGTCCACAGTGAGGTGTTTTGTTGTTGTGGTTGGTTTTTTGTTGTTGTTTTTTTTTAATTTGAGATGGGATCTCAGGATCTCACTTTGTTGCCCAGGTGGGTCTCAAACTCCTGGGCTCAAGTGATCCTCCTGCCTCAAGTGGTAATTTTTTTTCTATTCCAAATGCCCCAAAATTTATTGGTCTAGCCTCACTTTTGATTTATAATTGGGATTACTGTAAAATTCTGAATTGGAAAACATTTATTTCAGAATTTTGAAGACATTGTCTTGTCTTCCATTCTCGATTTTTTTTTCCTCTTCTGGTAGTTTTTAGAATTTTCTGTTTAGCCTTGATATTCTTAAATTTCAAAAGAGTGTACCTTGTGTCATTTTTTGTTCTTTATGTGTAGGCTCTCTGGACCTTTTCAGCCTAAACATGCACCTCTTTGGTTCTAGGATTTTTTTTTTTTTTAATTATTATTTCTTTTTAGATTTCTTCCTCTCCTTTTCTGGAAATTCTGTTGGTCCTATTGTGCTAAATTGGTTATCAAAGACTCTTTTTATCTAATTCTCATTATTATTATTATTATTGAGTTCTACTTTCTGATAATTTCCTTAGTTTTCTACTCTGTCTATTGAATATCATGATTCAGCAATCATATTTTTTATTTGCAAAAACTTTTTATTTGCTAAATATTTTTTCATTGTTCTTATGGCAGCATTCCATGAACAATATATCTTCTGTCTAGATTTATTTGAAGTTTTCTTCATTCTCTAATTTTTCATTTCTACTTATTAGCTTTTCATATATTTCAAGGCATGAATGTACCACAATTTTTGTATTCATTTGCATCATAAGGGGTTGTAATACCATGAATACCTTTAAGACTTTCTGTAGACATATTTTCATTTTCAAGTAAAGATCTAAGAGTGTCATTTTAAAGTCATAAAATAGAGATATATGATTACTTCTTATAAGAAACTGCTAGATTATTTTCCAAAATTGTTCTACCATCTTTATACTCTCACCAACAGTGTTTGAGAGTTCT